GATGTAATTAAACCATTTTTAGCAGAACTAATGGTTTGGTAAGATTGACATCAGGTCAGACAGGGCACAACAGAGAGCAGTGTTATTCAGATACAGCAGTAACAGTTCCAGAGGTCGACCACTTAGAATGTGGACAGCAGAAATATCAGAGACACTGAAAAGTATTGAATACGAAGCAAAACGAAGGGCCCGTTCCAGAGATCTCTTCCTGCCCTGACGCTGTGAGGCATTCCACAAGTAGAGAAAAGAAGAAGAAGAAAATTACTAACGCAGAATGAAAACCCTTACCAACACAGAATTGCAGGGTACATTTAACCATCAGGGGTGCAGTAATATCACCTGTTAGAATATTAAACCATGTATCTGGGAATTGTACTGTTAATATACCATCCAGGATAAGATATTTTATATTCTCTGAGATTGGTTGGGGGGGGGGAGGGGGGGGGGGTTAATCCTTCACTTGTTGGATCCTTTCTTATTTCCAAATAGTGTTATATTGTGTTAAAGGAAGGTATGGGAATAACAGCCAACTGCAGTAGTGAGTGTGGCTAGCAAGACTCACTGGTGTTAACTCTTTCAGTCCCAGGGAACGCATTGTACGTTAATAGGTTCCCACCTAGAAGCCCAATGAACGCAACATGCGCCTATTTTATGTCTCTCTTTACTATCCCTTCCTTGGGCCTTTGACGCTAATTTCCCTGGAAATGAAAGAGTTCAGAAGTCTTCCATAATAAAGGCATCAGATTTCAGGATCATTTTTGCAATTGCATATATTTAGCATACTTCTTCTGAGACTCGTAGATCTTAACTTATTTGCAGTCATTTTCTCCTTCATCCCAAGTCCTTTTCTGATTGTTCCTCTTAATTTAACATCTTCCATGGTATTCTGTTCCCATGAACCCACTAGAGTGCCCATATCATTCATGTCATTCTTGCATATGTATTTATATCATCGTTGAGGCCAACTTCGACAGCTTCTTCACATCTGTAATTGACCATAGAGGATGTCCCTAGGGGCTCTCCCATCCTCCATTTTCAGAGTATGTTTAGCTGTCTGAGCCTTTGAAGACTGATCGATAAGAAAACTGTTGGGATACCAGCTCTTTCCACTGCCTCAGTGTTTGTGATTTTATCTTGTCACTTAATGCCAAATATACTTCGTGTGCATCACAGGGAAAGCTTTTAAGTCATTTCTCCTGCTGTGAATGAATTAACCAGGTTTTGCTACCATAAAGAAGAGAACACAAGCTTTGCTGAGAGCACAAGCTTGGCTGAGAACACAAGCTGGACTGAGAACACAAGCTGGGCTGAGAACACAAACTTGGCTGAGAACACAAGCTGGGCTGAGAACACAAGCTTGGTTGAGAACACAAGCTTGGCTGAGAGCACAAGCTTGGCTGAGAGCACAAGCTCGGCTGAGAACACAAGCTCGGCTGAGAACACAAGCTCGGCTGAGAACACAAGCTCGGCTGAGAACACAAGCTCGGCTGAGAGCACAAGCTGGGCTGAGAGCACAAGCTGGGCTGAGAGCACAAGCTGGGCTGAGAGCACAAGCTGGGCTGAGAGCACAAGCTGGGCTGAGAGCACAAGCTGGGCTGAGAACACAAGCTGGGCTGAGAACACAAGCTGGGCTGAGAACACCAGCTGGGCTGATAACACCAGCTGGGCTGAGAACACCAGCTGGGCTGAGAACACAAGCTGGGCTGAGAACACAAGCTGGGCTGAGAGCACAAGCTTGGCTGAGAGCACAAGCTTGGCTGAGAGCACAAGCTTAATTGTTTTAACTGTGAGCTCTCTGTTCTCCCAAACTCTTTGTATTAATCTGTTCATTGTACTACCTTCCATATCCTGATGTTGATTTCTTGGTCCAGTAATAGTTTGTCACTGAGGATCCCTGGTATCTCTCAGGATGTCTCTCTTTGACTTTTTTCTACCCTTGGGAGGCCCTGCTGCAGAAGGGGAAGATTGGGTCTCATGTGCATATGGAGTGACTCAGTAATGCTCAGTAGGGCAGGTGGACATTTAATTTACTCAGGTGTGTTGTTCAGACCTTCACGACTAGCCAGATCAAGTCTAACCTTTACGCCAACAGTGCTTTTAGCTGACGAATTGGAAGGATGAATATATTTTTTTACAATTATGTTGCAGGCCCTATTTTTGACTGGAGAATTCATGGATAGAGATAAAATATACCAGGCATAAATTGTAGTGTCATATTTCTATTAAAACACTCTTAATATATATCAGTGTTTTGATCATTGTAAAGGGTATATTACATACCAGTACCTCTATTGCCTCTCTTTATTCAGTTTCAACTACAAAGTATAGTTTTAGCATAATGCTGTCTTCTTGGTAAAGGGGCCTGGACATAGCTATTCCTTTCTGCTTATTCTGGTTAAATGTCTCTTAAATAGGACAGTATTGGAGAGTAGGGAAATGTCATCATAAAGCTTAATGAAGGGAAACCAACAATTCCATCTCCTAGTGGTAGAGGACAGGTAACTCACTATGTGTCTGGCAAACACAGTTCATTGGAACAGGTGTCTAGCTTAAATAAGTGAACAAATCTTAAACAAAATATGATACTGTCTTCTCAGTGGAGGTTGGACCTAGTTGGTAGGGTCATCCACACTGACTCTGGGAATCTCCTCCTTATTCTTCAGCATTCCTAGCCTTTGAGGTCCATTGCTGCAGATATCACAAAAGAAGAAGAAGCAACAGCAAGAACAGATTTTCAACACCCTTTCATCAAGGCATAGAAAGATATTAGCACATAAATACAATTGTTTGACTTTTACTAAAAATAATAGACCTCTAGAAGCATGTCGTAAAATGCGAATAATTATGGGTGTTTCATTCACAGTCCAAGTGCCCCTGCCTGAGAGGCGAGGAACCAACAGTCTGCATACACATAAGCCTGCATACACATAAGCCAGATCTGTAAAATAAATGTGCATGCAAAACTCAAGTTTTGGAACAAGACCATTGTCCAGAAAAGGACAAACAGCCAGAGCCTTCCAGAGTCACTGCTGAATTCTAAGAAGAAGATGATTATTTGTTCAATAAGATTTTCTATCTGTCTTTATTTATATGGAAGTACTTCCAGTCATTGTAAATTAATATCCCAAACTGTCAGTCTTCTGACATAAGACCTCATACATCATACCAATAAAATGATCATTATCATGTACCAGACCAATAAGCGCGGGCTGTCACGTTTTTGCCATCCCACACAGTCAGCATAATCACAGACCAGGTTTGTGTTCTTGTCTCACCCAATCCCTCTGGCCAGACCATCCAGGTATTTATCTGTTTGCCTTTCCCTTGCTTTCTTTTCACCAATCTGACCTGCCATTACCAAAGTGTAGAGCCTATTGCTTCTTAACACGTGTCCAAAAACCACTGTCAGAATCAATAAAAACACAGCTGTGTTTTATAATGATTCACATTCTTTCCTATTATCTTGTATGCAAGTTGATTAATGTTTGTCATTCTGCTTCTCATGTTACTCAGGTGGTGTTAATGATTCTCTTGTCATATATATTATTCAGTTCAGTGTTTAATTCTTCTTCTGCCTTTCTAGCCCCCAATGGAGCATAGGCCCTCAAGCAACTCACGCCAAGTCATTCTCCAGCTCCCTTCTCATCTTGGGTTTTACTTGCTTCTCTGTTTGATTTATCCATGGTTGGTTGGTTTTTGTGGCTGTTGTTTTTACAGGATGAGGTAGCCAACCTCAAGCCCAACCCTACCCTTAGTCGCCTCTTACGACATGCCTGGTAGGGTGCAGTGTCACTATTCTTTGCTTCCTGTGAAGGCCCCGGCGACACACAGGCGTCAGTGTTTAATTATCTTATAGATAAGGGCAGGGATGTCCATGTGTGTTTACCGACATTGTGTCTGTGATTATGAAAGTATATATGTATGAAAGAATTAATCAATAGGCACAAACAGATTGAAGCCTTAAATGGAATATATCCCACATGGTTGTAAAACACACATCAATTGGGTGACTCATGCCATAGCCTTGTGACCTCTACCACTGGGGCCTACAAGAAAATCTTATGCCATTTGGCTTCTAAAAAGCCATTTAGCTCATTGGATCCCCCTCCCCAAATGCTGTTGTTAGTTAATGTATTCATATCTTAAATTTGTAAATGTTTGCATAGGTACGAAAACAGCCAGTAGCATTCATTTTGCATCTCAAAAACAGATCACTCACTATAGACCGGTCTTGCCTAAGAGTGCTAGACTAATATTTTATAGACCAGCCGACACTGTGAGTGATGTGGTCAGCATCATGATGGCCATCTTTACTTCCCAGGACTTTACCTCTTACCCAGGCTGGGTTGACCTACTAGCCATTTTTAAAAGTCTGGCTCCATTTGGATTTGAACCTGTGACCTTTAGATCTGCAGGCGAGCGTCTAGTGACTACATCACAAAGCTGCCTTACTTTCCTAGATAATTTAACTAAAATGTTAATTTTCCACATTGGTTGCTGAAATGCTCTGTCTTCTCAAGTTGTAATTTATTGTTAAAGTTGAAGGATTAAAAAGGTTCTTTATAATTTTGTTTAATGCTGCATAATTATTATGTGGATGTTTTAAAATTGTGACTAGAAAAAACAACAGAATACTTAATACACAGCTGGCTTTTCATCATCCATGATTGGACATTTCTACTGTAAATATTAAGACCTCATTCAGTTCGACTGATGTCGGGCAGAGAATTGCAAAATTTAAAGACTTTTTTTTAAGAAAGACAGGAAAACTGATGAGTCAACAGTGAACTGATATAATCAGTTGGTCCATGTTCAGGAAGCCATTTAACCACTTGTCCAGCGTGCTGTAATATACTTTTTTTAATGCTTCAATCATTTGATTTGATCCTTCTTGAATTAAAGAATAGCGTATTTGACCTTGACTTCAAGATGTCAACTTTATTTTGGAGTGTAAAAAAAATATTTCTTGTATTGCAACATCTTATTTCAGGATACACAAGATGCCTTCTATTGAAGAAATCCTTCTATCCGAAACTGAAAAGACATTCCAGTATGATAATGATTTGTTGACCCTTCCAGTTCCAGATTTGTCCAATACTTTGAGAAAATATTTAGAATCAGGTATTTATGCCAGTTTCTTTGTTGTTTGCTTGAGCAAACTTTTCTTTCCCTTATTTTTTCATAACCTTGTTAACCCTGTCGCCCCTGTAACGCAAGGGTTAAAAATGTTCAGGATCCCTTGGGAATCCTTGAAAAAGAATTCCTGAAAAAGGATGTTCCAGTATGATGAGAATTTGCTGTTCCTTCCAATTTCAGACTTTTGCAATACTTTGAAAAGATATTTGGAATCAGAGGTAATATGTCTTGAATCCAAGACCTGTTGGCAGGCAGCCGAGCATCTAGCCACTACACTACCCTGGCTCCCGAACTAAAACGGTGAATGGTCAATAATATATTAACACTGGATTTAAAAGCAGCAGTTATATAACCTGTAATAGAATGAAACTGCACCAGGGATTGAGCTTATGGTAACAGATACCATTTAGAAAGAAAAAGAAAATGCTGAATGAATATATTACAAGAATTTTACTTTTGGAAACAGTTTGTGTTATGCAAGAAGAAGGCAGCAGTGCACATCCTTTAGATATGCCATGGCAATGACTAGAATGGAAAATACTATAATGGAAAAGTTAGAAATGAAGACAAAGTGGAAAAATCAGAAGATTAACCCTTTAGCCCTGAGATGCCGCTAATTCAACATCGCTGACCTTTACAAGTCCTCATACAAGATGCCAAACTGGAATAGCTTATACACGATGCCAAACTGGAAAAGCTGAATTGGCATGTCCCCCCTCAAGCCTAGTTTATAACATTGGTTCTGTTTGTGCCTGCACAGTGTTTTGCTGGACCGGGTATGATTTTATTTACCAAGATTAGTATTCAGGATTTCATGAGTTATTGTGAACCATGTTTGTTTCTTTAAAAAAAAAAAAATCCATCATGACTTATAATTTTCTGTAGTCTTAGTGGACATATAGCAGTGGGGTGAAAGGTATTGGGTGAGTCAGTTTAAATTTCTTACGTCTAAGGGAAAGCAATTTTTTAATTCTCCACTCAGTTCATGGCTGTTGATTACTCCCCTTAATATATTTACATCTTTTTTTTTCTTTCAAGTGTACCTGTGTGAAGTGATTTTTTTCTTTAAATGATTTTATTCATGAATTCCTAGGTTCATGGTTTTTCCCACAAAGGTCTCCAGGTCGATTGGTTAAAGTTTGACTTTGGAGATGGAGAGAGAATCAACTTTATTGGAAATCATTGGTGACATGTTGAGGGGGTGGGGGGATGCGGGCACCTCAGATGTAGGGGGGAAAATGAATCTACACAGAATTTTCTATTTGTAATCAGAAGCAAAAATTTAGAAAAAAAAAAAGAAAAAAAAAACATAATTGTTAGTTTATTGTAATTGTATTTTTTCTTAATCCACAGTTCGACCTCTGGTGACTGATGCAGAATACAAAAAAACAGAACTGATTGTTCAGCAGTTTGCTGCTGGTGATGGTAAAGGATTGCATGAAAAACTCCAGGAAAAAGCACATACAACAAGAAACTGGGTACAAATACTTTAAGCTTAGTTTTTTTCTAAATGGTCAGTCATAGATTTCAAAGAAAAATATTTTTCAACAGCATGCATGAGTTTTTGTAACTGCACTATTGTTACAATTGTAAATTTTGTTGGGGCCCTTATTAACCCTACCAGACCGCTGGCCCGCTTTTCCTGGAATTTCTTAACCTGACGCTATACCGCTGGCCCTAATTTTTGGCTTTTTGCGTAGTACGGGAAAAAGATGCGTCAGGGACTAAAAATAACCACCCAATCGTTATCAATCCTCTTTGTTAGGCATTGCAAATGTCTGCCCGCATGTGTTTGGATTATATTTGTGTTGTTTTAAGTAGAAAAATTCTGAAATGAAACGAGCGGCTGATGAACCAAATTCTAGGCTTTTCACAGTCCAACAGGTGATCGATACTTTGGTTTATTCAGACTCTGCGGGGTGATAATTTCATAGAGAATACGTTCTTGAAGTGACACTGTCAGTGAGAGCGCGAATGATGAGGAAAATCTTGAAAATTATAAATCTTGAAATAGATTGATAGTAGGAGAAGGGGGTGTGTCCCTCAAACGGCAACATCTGGTGTTCACTTTGAAACAAAGTTGATCCTGAGTAGTGGATTCACACACAAAGGTGGAATATTGGCGCTAGATAAAAGGTAAGTCTATTTTCTACAATGTCTCAGAGTTTCATCATATTCTAGCCTCTTGTTTGCATGTAACTAATATTTTTGAATATCATGTTGGTTTTTTCACGGTAATGCCCAGGAGCTCAAGTTATAGGGACAATTAGGTTCAGGGCCTCAGGTCTGGTAAGGTTAATTTGTGAAAAGCTATCATCTTTACATGACAACACATGTAAAGAACATTATATTTGCTTGTTATTTGCACAGGCACTTAAACACATTAATTTATTAGTAAGTGTATACGTGGTATGCTTTTTATATTCAGTTTTGTGTGAATGTTGTTTTTATAATTCTCTACCATGGATCAACGTTTGGATGATAAAATGAGGATTCACTGTCAAGCTAAGATAAGAGTTAAAAACAAAAGCTTTCAGTATTGTTCCAGATGTTTCACATGGGTTGTATTGACCTTGTATTTGTTTATAGTACATCCTGGACATAATATTTCTGTCTGATTAATAGTCTTCCTCCAGTTTTATCGCCAGATCATCTTTGCCACTAGACACAAAGTGGTATTTGATTACGTTTTATTCTTAAAAGGTGTCCAGAACTTCATATGTTGTTTTTCTAAATTCAGTGCAGGGAGCTGTATCTGTTATATTTCTTACGTCGTTGTCTTAAATTCTGTTTGTATTTCTGAAATGCTTTGTTTCACATATTATTAACATAATTCACTATCACTACCTGTCACATGTCTTTTGTCTAAAATTTCTACTAATTTCATTCCTAGTAAATTTAATGTGTTGCTTTATAGTTTCCGATTTAGGTTTCAGAGCCTTTGGGGGGGGGGGGGGGGGTGGATAATTAATAGCATTTTATTACAAGGGAGCCACCTTGGTGTAGCTTCCTACAGATCCGTAGGCTATGGGTTCAAGTCCTCATAGTGCCTGATTTTTTTCCACACATAACCTTGGCTCACAAGTTGACCCAGCCTTAAATAGATTCTAGGTAAAATCCTGGAAAGTAAAGACGGCAGGCGTGATGTAGACCACATCACCCTTCGAGGTCCAATTGATCTATTAAAAATATGTCTAGCCTCATATGCTCGCTGGGCCACTGGTATATTAAGGGATCTTTACTTTTCTTTACTATAACAGTATCCTGGGGGGGGGGGGGGGGGGGGGGGGGGGGGGGGGGGGGCAGGTTTTTCTCCACCCCCTAAAAAATTTGGCCCACATAGATGGCTACACCCATGTGTTTAATTGTAGTTTCAAATTGCTTTCTTTATTATGTTTATCCTGAGGAAGCTGGAGCAATGGTGGGAGGATGAGGCATATTTGAAAATTAGGCTACCAAGACCGAAAATCAACATGGGCAGTCCGTGCCCCTATGATGACATCTGGCAGTCTCTGCCTGGCTCACAGATTCCCCGGCAGGCTCTTGTTCTCTATTATTTACTCAAATTTTGGGACTATGTTCGCAGGTAAATCGTTTTAAATGAAATTTATTTGATAATTTCTTAGAAAACGCTTAAGGAAATTGATGAACATTAAATGGGTTGAATTGCAAGAAAGTGAATCGCAAATGTTATCACCTAGCAGTAGGTGTTTCGTCCTTTTTAGGACGAAATTTTTTGTTTTTTGAAGCCCCACCCTGGTTTTTGCCAGGGGCCGCAATATAGGCAGGCCATAAATATGGCCAATTATCTGAACGAGGTTTCTAGGACCTCTCCACGGCGATCCTCATCCACATGGTGGCACTTTGTGTCATCGGGTGTTTATCGCTTGTGTGATGTCCTAGTGGGGTAAAAAGTCAGTCAGTCAAGAAAGTGAATACATGTCTAGACAATTGCTGTAATCAACAGCTGCCATGTGGATCAGGCGACGACAGTCAGAAGTCTTGTGAAATATCCCACAGAGCTAACCAGGAAGGCTAACTTGGAAAACTCTCTCTCTCTCTCTCTTTCCTCTCTCTCTGTCTCTCCCCCCTCTCTCTCTCTCCCCTCTCTCTCTCTCTCCCCCCCTCTCTCTCTCCCTCTCTCTCTCTCTCTCTGCATGGGGGAGGGGGGGGGGTGGGCATGCTTGTGCATGCAGGAGAGAGTATATGTGTGTGCTGTGCATGTGTGTGAGTGGACAAATGAGGTATACATTGTTGTTATCATACACTATTGTTATTTATATCAGGCAATGCCCATATGTTGTCATTGTGTATAAGTCTGGTTTTAAATAAGAAAACCTTTAATGCCTTGCCATGTTTGAGAAAGCCTGGAGTGAGCCAGCTCCAAGTATGTTTTTAATTTTTTGCAAATTCAGACATTAAATATTCTTGTGCTTAATTAGCAGAACTCTGGTTTCATTATACCTATGTAAGCTCTTTTGCCTTTGGAAGAAACACCCATGAACCTGGGAATTCCTATATATAAATTGTTTAGAAAAAAAAAAACACATGGCACTGTTACATAAAAAAAAAAAATTGCATTTGTATACATTGGATAAAAATTTAAAAAATTAAATGAAAGTGGAGTAATCAATAACAATGAACGGATCGGAGAATGTTGACATCGCAATGACTGACAATTACTTTTTCACAGTAACCCCCCCACCCATGCTATTTTTAGTAAATATAATTGTACCCTTACCCTCCTAAGCACTGTACAGTAGCAAACAGAATTAGTGACTAGTGTCATTTCTAGCAAACACAACCAGTGCTGTTTCTAGCAAACACAACCAGTGCTGTTTCTAGGCTTGTCGGGGACTGGCTAACGCAGCAGTGAGTAACCATATGGTGATGTTGGATTAGATGTTTTACGAGGCCAAAGAGCTAGGCAGGAAAGGGACAAGTAACCAGAATTAGTACAAGTACCTGGATCCAAGTTAATTCTGTTTCTGTATTTGCAGGGAAAAGTATAAACCTTTGAAAGATGGGAAAGGAAGACCACAATGCATGTACCAGTTCAGACGAGTATTTAATACATGTAATATACCAGGAGTCTCTAGAGACAGTCTCATACATTACTTCAAAACTGGCAAGTAGATATTGTCTTCATAATCATCGTCATCGTTATCATAATCACTTGCAATCCGGGAAGTTAACATAGTCAACAAATGCTCAATGAAGTCAGATGTGTCAGCCAAAAGGTGCAAATATCGGAGCTCTGCTGTAAGCAGGCACAACAAAATTATAACACTTGGATGAACAAAAAGAAGAAGAAGATAATCACTATTATCAGTGCAGCATTTTGTATGATTCTTGGTGTCTGCCGAGAAGAGGGTGTTGGGATTTGAAAGCTTATTCTGCTTCTTCATTCGACTTTTGAGGACTGTGCGTCACACTTTTTTCTGCACCTAACTAGGGGACCAGTTGCCGGACTCTGGGTTGCTTTAAGTGTAAGGTTTAATTGTGTAAGGTTTGTTAATCTACCGTAACAGGCCTTATGCCATGAGGCAAACAGGAACACACAAAAATGAGGAGAAAGAATATAATACTTATTATTTTTGCGGAGCTCCATGTTGTCTCATTTTCTGAAAATTTGCTTTAGTTTATTGTAAGCAAATGCATTATAAACTTTGGATGTATGTGTGTCTGCCTGCACCCCTCCCCCCGCCTTTCCCCCCACTGTCTCTGTCTTTCTCTGTCTGTCTGTCTGTCTGTCTGTCTGTCTCTCTCTCTCTCTCTCTCTCTCTCTCTCTCTCTCTCTCTCTCTCTCTCTCTCTCTCTCTCTCTCTCTCTATTTCTCTCTCTCTCTCTCTCTCTCTCTCTCTCTCTGTCAGTCAATCAGTCTGTCAGTCAGAATCATGATTAAGAAAGCAAGTAATCAAACTTAGTTGGTTATAAAATTAAGATAGGTTTCACTCATTAAAAGGGAATCTTCCTTAAATAACAAATGTAGAGAACCTTCTTTACGTCCAAGACAAACAGGTGTATGATGCCAGACATAATATTTTATAGGCTAAATGGCACTTGATAGATGATGTGGTCAGCCTCATTCTAACCACCTTTGCTTCCCAAGACATTTCCTGTACCCGATTTAGGCCGGGTTGACCTGTGAACAAAGGTAAGTTTTTTCCAAATCTACCTGGTGGTGATTTGAACCCAGTACATTCAAGCCTTTTCATGTGAGGTATCTTTATAAAGCTGTTCGATTGATCAGTCAATTGGTCCCCTCTGAGCTCCTACCCAAAGATTTACCATACCAGAGGAACAATCTGCCTACAGATAAGCCAGATCTGTAAAATGGTTGTGCATGCAAAACTCAATTTCTAGAATAAGACAAGTCCAGAGAAAGTGAACAACCATAACTTTCTAATGAAGTTTACAGCCGGCGAACACACACACACTTGCATGCACGCACGCACACACACACACACACACACACACACACACACAAGAAGAATACAGCAAAATATGTCAGGCAATAAATTGCGCGTGCGTGCTCACACACACGCACGCACGCGCGCACACACACACACACAGAGGGGGAGAGAGAGAGAGAAAAATATGTCAGGCAATAAAATGTGCAATATATTTTGTCCAAATTATTTACATTGTTGCATACATCTAATTTCCCTGCAGGGTAAAGGGGCTTTGTTTTAAGAGTGAACAAGAATTGACCCTCTGACCCCTAACAAGCATGTCATTAAAGGCCACTTATTTGTTATTTTCTGAAATAGGATGTGTTGTGCAGAAGGATCACAGCCTAGCTGTAAGCCACAACACAACATGCCAACCACCCTTGTAACTCTTTTAGTCAGAGCAGGTCACAGCTGTTTCCCCTATGAGGCAGTTATGACAACAACAAAGTCATGAGTATACTACATCCATAGGAGCTGAGACTACAAGCCTTACCGAAGTCTGCTGTGTTGTTATGTGTTTTACTGTGCCCTTACTAAACATAAAATATACAAGCATGATAATATTTTGACTGAGGGTACACTCTGTAAGTACATCGCCATTGTGATTCTGTGTTGCGCATGCAACACCTGGCGTCACTTAATGAACGGCGACATAAAAGTTCAGTGTTGCTGTCATCTAATGATACCTTTATTACATTTTTTCCTGCCATTCCAAAACCATTTGTGACTTACTTATTGACTTCCCCTCGTACAAATCCGGCCAAACATGTTGCACTGTTTGGCACTGAAAAAGTTAAAAATGAACACAGAAGAAGTAGAAAATATATTACACAGTGATAATGACATGTGTAATAATAATATTAATTTTTTTCAGAATCCGAAGGAGCCTGCCCTTCACATGTGCTGGTGGCATCCAAGGGTCACATTTTTATTTTGGACACACACGATGAAGCGGGACAGATACTGACCCCACCAGAACTCCAGTCCCAGTTGCAGAAGATCAAGGACCGGAGTCTAGCCCTAGGCCAAGCTCAAGGTGTTAATTATTTCACTTCAGAAGAAAGGACTAGATGGGCCGAGGTAGCTTATTTTTTTCTAGTATTTAATAAAGCTAAACAGATTTAGGCTATCTTCCGAATAACGGTCCCAAATTATTAAGGCCGAAAATATACCCTAACAGGGCCTCAGTCACGTGTCAATTGCGGACTTCCGGCGACTTAAATTGCGCACTTCCTGCATGGAAAACAAGAATAGACCCACTGCCTCCCTAACAAGCATGTTGTAAGTGTCACTTATTTTGAGCTTTTCCTTTGAAGTTGGAGTGCATCTGCCTGAGAGGCAAGGAACCAACAGTCTGCATACAAAAAAGTCAGATCTGTAAAATGAATGTGAATGCACCACTCGGGTTCTCAAACAAGACTAAAGTTCAGAGTGGATAAACAACGAAAACTTTCTGCCAAAGTTTAGAGCTGGTGAATACAGAGAAGAAGAAGATACTCCATGTCAAAAGTTGTTGGTAGTCATATCTGTCCACAGACATTTCTGTCTCATGCATTTTCAATAATTTCTGACACAGATGATCTCCCATGCCATGCTGTCAAATTATCTAGCATCTTCTCTCTCTTCGTCTACCTCTGTCCTGTTTGTCCACAAACTTTCCTGCTCACTATGTATTCCAATTATCTCCTACCCATAATGTGATCAAAGAATGTAGATTGCTGTCTTCTGATGCAGGTAATTATTCTTCTTTTTGAGTTGAATCTCTTTTAACCCTTTCGCTGCTGCGCCCAATGCAGGCCAACGTAACCACTGTGCTGAGCCAGGCGAGAGCTAATCTTTCTCCCTGTGCTGAATACCTTTCTCGCCTCCAAAAGCAGAAGACGCTCTTGCGGCGCAGGGTAAAAATTGTACACCTAAAATAAAAACTCTTTTAAAGGCGCATGGTTGACCTTTGCGCTGACAAGTCGGACGCGCTTGGGCTACGCCATAAAAACTCATGAAATAGAAATACTTCAAACTTACAAAGCAAATACAAAACACTTTGTAAGCAGATACATGTTCTTTTTATTATTATTAATATCTTTTTGTGTGAAATATTTCAAAATAAGGTGCGACACACAGTACCAAATCACAGTCCTTGAACATGTATCTGGGTTTCCCGTCGTTTTTTGCTTTCTGCGGATACCACACACTTTCTTGTTGGGAATTTCTTCTGTGATGTTACAGACTCTATTTTTGAAGGGTACTGCCTTTCTTTGTACTAAACGAAGTGGCAGATCTTCACTTCTTTTGTCCTCGTACATTTCTTCTATTTTCCTTGCAATATTTATGAAGACTTTCTCTTACTAACATTAAGTGAAATTGGGCAACAGGAGTGTTTTTGCACACAAATGAACAGTATACCAACCATACTTCACAAAGCAACAGGATAAAGTGTAACACATCTAAATGCACGTGACATAATGTTTAATTAATTAATACTTCTGTGATCTGTTGCCGAAAGAGCTAAGAGCTCAAATTTAGAATTTATATTTAAAATTATAATAATTTAAAAAAATACGGCATGCAGGAATTGAACGCGTACCCTTCGATTACAAGGCAAGCGTGATATCAACTACGCTAGAAGTTTATATGTAAATTGGTACCGAAAATAGGACTAGTATTGTACACTTTGATAGACCAGACACAGTTTTGTCAGTTGTATAGTATATTAGAAACATTAGTATTAATTATCATGTCAGTACGTGACCATATCTTTATTTTGATTATTGGTGATTCATTTTAAATTCAGTCAATGTAGATAGCTGGGTCATATGGTCAGTCTTGCTCACGGCTAGAAGTACACGTGTCCGACGGCGTGCCGTGAAGATAGCCCAGCTCATATAACTCAAACGTTTCAAAGTTATCCTTACTATTACTCCTCGAAACAAACTCCAATAATTCTTCATTAACTATAATTAACAAATTTTCTTGTTATTTTGTATTTAAAAAAAGTAGACTAACGCAAAACCAGAAACATATTTTAGGGCAAAAAAGTTACCGTTCACCGACCATGCTTCTATGGTAACAAAGCAACAGGATAGCGTGAAATGCGTCTAAATACGGCTAAACGCACCTGATAAGGGTTTTAATTGTATGTAAATGGGTCAGTTTGATCAGATTTGGGTAATGTATATTTCCATTTCACCCCCAAGAATTACTGTCCTTAGCAATCTGTAAGAAAAGTCGAGGACGAGATATCTCGTCCTTAGCACTGAGGGCACAGAAAATGGAAGACGAGTTAACTCGTCCTTAGCAGTCTACCGGGTAGACGAGTTATCTCGTCCATAGCAGCGAAAGGGTTAAGACACCTTAATTACTATTTTTTATCTGCCCAAGGTGTTCTCATTATTTGTCTATAAAACCACATCTCTGTTGCGGTTTACAGCTAGGTTGTGACCTATGTGTCTTTTGACCCATCCAGTTTCAGCATATCTTTAACTAGTCACCTTTATGACCTGCTTGGGAAAGGACAGTAGGTCTATCCACCCCCACCCTCTCTTCCCCTAAAATAGGACCTTGGAACCCTGCAAGAATGTTAGAATCAAATTCCATTATTCCTTCAAGATTTATTAATTTATGGTGTTATCAACCTGAAAATCCATTTTAAGTTTACTGTTTAAACCATTTCATTGTTTTTATTTTTGTAATTCTCATGCTGTTTTGTAATGCATTTACCAAAATTGCTCCTCAGATTCGAAGTCGATTAATTGCCCTTCATCCACACAATTATGAAAATTTGGAGAAGATCCAGAGTTCTGTCATAGGTGTTTGGCTTGAGGATGGCAATGGAACTGACGCAACAGATGTATGTTTAATCATCATTATAATTTACAGAAATATACTCTTGTTTATTTTATAAATAGAAGCCCGGCTCACTAGCTTAGTTGGTTGAAGCTTACTTCGTGGCGGCCGGGTGACGAACTCCTTGTGATCCGGGTTCACTCCCAGGGGTAGGCAGAACAGCCAAATTTCTCCCAGATTTACGGTACCTATAATGGAATCAAGGCCAAAGGGTTGCGATATCCATAGTACCGAACTAAAGGGTTTATAACTCATGGTTTCTGGATACTTGAAAAAAAAAAAAAAAAAAAAAAAAAAAATATATATATATATATATATATATATATATATATATATATATATATATATATATATATATATATATATATATATATATATAAAAGAAAATGGTAATTAAAAAAAATATTTGCTTACTTATGCGAAAATTCTACAGAAAGATTATCAGAATACAATAGACCAAAAAGAAAAGAAATAGTGACATCCTAAAAGATTTGAACATCAAGGAAGATTGGCTAATAAACAGTTTCTTATACTGAAAACTGAAATGTTTAGCCATATCAAGCATCACAGTGAATTTGAAAGAATAGTAGCAGAAGGCTGGGTACCAGGATAAAAGGGCGGGGCCGACCAGCACGAAGATGGGCCTGAGATATAAGTGACACCTTGGGTAAGAACATGCATGAGGCGACTGAACTGGCAAGAGACCAAGTTTCTTTCAGGCAAGCTGTGGTGAGAGTGACGCGCTTTAAAGAACCTGCTGCAAGATGATGATTATGATGATATAAATGCATGAAATATATTTAATATCAATGGTAAAAAAGGGAAATGCTTTGATGTGGCATCCCTCTCCCCTCCTCTCCCCCCCCCCCCCCCCCCCCACTTCCTGTTTAGATTTAAGTGCATGCCAACCTGTCTAGATTGTTTTAGTTTTATTCGTGTTATGTGAAATAACCTATCCCATCCGATCCAAGAAACCATCAAGGCATTATTCTTCTACTTTTCATATATCTGAGTGATTTAATTGCATTGTGCATGTTTACAGTAAAGCCCTTTGGCCGACACATCCGACTCCATCGAGCATTTGTTGACCGGGTTAACTTCCTGGATAGTTCAATGGACACATTGTAGCCTTATTTGTGTGGTGTTCTATTTGTCCCCTTGCCTACAGGTGCTGCTCCTGGAGAACCGATCCCGGGCAGCCACGTGTAGACTTGTTGGCCCTCAAGGGAAGGGAGGGGCAGATCATGGGCATTACCAACCATCCAAGGAGGCTTTCATAAATGCTGAGCCGACACATGACACTCTGGTCCTGGGCTCACCCCAAGGAATCAACACATCCTGCACATGACTGCTTAACCTCACATCCATAGAGCTTCCCACTTGTCATGGGCTGTGCCCTTCACAGATCTGCAGGGAGCAGCCCACAGGTCGGGTACTTCAGTGAACACACAAATAGGTACATTCTTCTTCAGCACATTTGATACCTTTAACATGGTTTCATCTGTATGACATCACAACAGGATGGAAAAAGCCTGCATCAGGCATGGCTTCCCCTATTTGGTCCCGACACTCTCACAAGTGTGTCCAGTGGTAACGGTCATTTGTACCTTTCTGTCAAAACAGTAGGACTTTTGATGGTCGGACATTTAAGACTTTGCTGTTATGCCCTAGGACATGAATCTGCCGGACATTTGAGCCTAGTCAGCTGACTGACAATGTGCACATTCTCATGGTGTACCTCAGCATGGTGTAGAACATTTCACATATCTTGGCAGTGTGGTGTCCCTACTGGGAGGGACAGAGGAAGACATACAGTCACGTCTGAACAAAGCTAGAGCTGCTTTTGGAAGGATGAGGCAAATCTGGAAATCCAACAATTACTGCAGAGGAACGAAACTCCGACTCTACAAGACCATCATTTTGCCAGTTCTTCTTTATGGAGCGGAATGCTGGAGAATGACCAAAAGCTGTCCACCTTCCACCACACATGTCTACGTAGAATTATCAAAATTTTCTGGCCAGATACAATCTCAAACACTAAACTACTTCAAGCCACAAACCAAGAAACTTTAGACAGTATGATTACCAAGAGAAGATGGAAATGGCTTGGCCACGTTATGAGAATGACTTCTGATATACCTGCCAAAACAGCTCTGACATGGACACCAGAGGGAAAGAGAAAACAGGTGCACCCAAAAACAACATGGAGACGAACGATGGAAAGTGACCTGAGTGCGGCATCTTTAACATGGAAAACTGCACTGAAGATTGCACAGGACAGGAAAGCATGGAAAGTCCTCTCTGAAGCCTCATGTGCCACTAGGCATAACGAGAACTGACTGACCTCAGCGTGGTGACGACGACACTGAGGGTCAACAAAGGATTTTTAGAGACACGACTGTATCACAAGATATTGCCTACAGAAAATGTTGCTCGTCTAAGCTGTGAGCAAATCTCTTGATCTAGGGCTGAGTCTGAGCTGTTAAGTGGTTCTTTCACTTGGCTGAAGGTTGTCATTTAGATTTGGCTAGTGGGCTTTACTCATGTTTTAAATGAATTTGGATAGACCTCATCACCCATGCATTGGGGTAAGCTGATTGGAGCCTGAGGATTTCAAGGCACTGCATCCCTGAGGGCCACCAACTCCGAGATCTCCTGCCAGCTCTGTTGATGTTCATATGAGCCATTGTCTGTGGCGCGTGACTGGGACATGTGGCAGGAGTCTTGCATGAGAATCCATAAAACTAACACAGAGCACACTGATGAACCAACTAGTCGGCTTACAAATGTGCCAGATCTGTAAAACAGATGTGCATGCAAAACTCAACTTCTGGAACAAGACTAAAATCTAGAAGTGAACGGACAGCCAGAACTTTCTGCTGGAGTTTATAGCTGGTGAACTTGAAGAATGAGAAGGTTGTTAGTCAGATCAGTACGCACTGACCGCTGGCTCCTCGTGTCGGTTCTGGGAGCCATTTTTTTAAAAGAAAATTAAGAAAATACCCACTGATCCCAACAGGCTTTTTGTAAAAGACAACTAATTAGGGGCATGCTGAATTTGAATGTGTTGTTCTGTAAGGCACACATATCACAGCCTAGTAAACTAAATGCATCGTGCAAACCCTTATAAAGCTAATAAATAAGTCTGGATGCATAGAAAATATAAAGAATATCCTGTCTCTCTGCTGCTAGTTAGCGAACAAAGGACTGCTGGGCTGTGGTGACAACAGATGGTGGGACAAAGGGCTGTCTTCTGGCATGTATGAGAATGGATTATGTATATCAAACGCTGATGTAGGTATCACTGTGTCTCTTGATATCTCTTTCTTGTTCATGTCTCTCTGACCATTTTGTATTGATTCCAATAATTACATGAGCACTGAACTGTTCAGAATGTTGAAATAAGAATCCACATCACAGCACTTGGGACACTCCCATAAGTGCTCAGTCGCCATCTTCAGCAGCAAGCGAAGAGTTCCAGTTCCGATGATACCAGTAACCGTCTGATTGTATCAATCTCATCCTTCCCCTAAGTGTTGAGCGTCGGCCAGATCCCCTGGTTACTCTATGCAGCACCATTCTCAGAAAGCAGTGGCAAACTGATGAATGTAAAATTGCCTAGTTAAACCACAGACAGCCAGTAAGTGCCAAATTTGGTTTAAAAAAAATATCAAGTGCCTTGCTGACTGGCCTGGGTGTTCATGCCTCTCCGCAACCTGTGATCTCCAGCAGCATGTTTCATTTCAGGTACTGACATGCCAGAAACCTGCTTACAAATAAGGCAGATCCTTAAAACGGATGTGCATGCAAAACTCGAGTTCTTGGTGAAGACCAAAGTTCAGAAATGGACAAACAGCCAGAACTTTCCCCTGAAGTTTACAGCCGGTGAACACGCAGAAAAAGTGTTGACACTACTCCATATCATGTTGGGGGTAGAATAGACCCACTGCCATACTAACAAGCATGTAATAAGAGTCAAATAATTAAGGGTTTTTTCGAAGTCAGATTGCATCTGCCTGAGAGACAAATAGCCAAAGTCTGCATACAAACAACCCAGATATGTAAAATGGATGTACATGCAAACTCAAGTTCTAGAAGAAGATTAAAGTCCAGAAGTGGAGGAACAACCAGTTTATAGCCAGTGAACAAGAAAGAAGAAGAAGATCTCCCAACACTAACCTACTTTACCTCTGCTGTTATTTTAACTCTTTTAAACCCAAATGTTTGTGAGATTTTTGTAACAGTTAAGGTCTGGCTAAATTGTTAAATCACTGAGCTCTCATTCAAGAGACCCTAGTTCATTTCCTCAGTAAGTGATGGACTTTTTCAAGAGCAAGAAAAATGTTTTAACTTGCACAGTACACACACAGTTTATGGTGACTGCACTTGCCATACAGCTCTAAATTCTCAGGTTTGAAATTAAAAATGACTTCCACTCTAAACCTGCTGCACTGTATAACCCTAAAAACTGGTATAATAATGACAGTACAGGATAATTTCTGTCAAAGACTGCAACATTTACTTAGGTTAGAATGAGTTAAAGTGTCACCGGCCTGAATGAGTTAAAGTGTCACCAGCATGGAACTGAAAGAGTTAAAACTGTTCACATATATTTAAATAATACTTTCTGGTTTTTTTGTTAGCATTTTAAGACTGTTGACTTCATTTTTGATAATTTAACAAATGTTGAATATACTCAATAAAGCACACACCTGCAGAAGGCGTTATGATGGTTTATGTCACCCAGTACATCCTTGCAAAGCTCAGAGAAAACAATGGCAAATGGCAGGTAAGTTCACAGGCTTTGTAAATTTGAAAGTGATATTTAACCCTTTCGCTGCAAGAAGCCTAAATCTAGTCACTTCTGGCTGTGCCATATCCTCGTAAATGGCCATGTCTGCAGTGACCTGTCTTCGGAAAGCGTAGTTAAATTCTATTGGTTCCTTTTGCACCTGCACAGTGTTTAATATGCCAAGATGTGAATATAGTAACTAGGAATAGCATTTAGGATGGTTTCCTTAGGACAACAATGATATTTTGAAAGCCTAATTGATCTAAAATCTTCCTATAAACCTCAGGGATAAAAGACACAGGATCATGGCATGAGTCACCCAATTCATTTTTTTTTACCCACCAGGGATGGATTACATTTATTGCTTCACTGTGTTCGTGTTTATTGATTTTACTGATTACCCCTTTATATCATCGTCACATGCCCTGCCGACCTGCAGAAGTGGTCATGTGTTTCCATTCTTCAGGCAATCCTCATTAGTTACTCTGGCAGTCCAAGGGATTCTTAACATTCTTCTGAGAAACCACATCTCTGTTGCCTCCAAGTTGTTTTTTTCTAATTTGTGCATTCACTTTCCATGATTCACTACCATTCAGCAGTATAGGTTCTTCATAATATATTAGTACTCTCTTTCTAACATCCAGTGAGAAGGACCTGTTGCACAAGATGTTCTTCATTCTGTAAAAATCACACATCTTCCGTCTGATGTTATGATTGTACCCGGGTATTTGAATTTATCAACTTGGATTAACTTGTTTACCTTCTATTCTAATATCACACTGTGGTGGTATTCTTTTTTTTTTTTTTTTTTTATATATAAACATTACTCTTTATGTTAAAGGACAGATATTTTTTTGCACTCTCTCTCACTACAATGTCCAATAATTGCCGTAGGTCATTTGCTTTTTCAGCTGTCAATACTGTGTCAGCTGCATAATGTATGCTGTTTATATTACTCCCACTCTAAGCATAATGTATGCTGTTTATATTACCCCCACTCTGAGCATAATGTATGCTGTTTATATTACCCCCACTCTAAGCATAATGTATGCTGTTTATATTACCCCCACTCTGAGCATAATGTATGCTGTTTATATTACCCCCACTCTAATTCCTTGTGTATTTTGAATCTCTCTCAATATCATCTCACTATATAGAGAGAAAAGGTTCATATGTGCTCTTTCTGTCTCCCTTTTTTATAACTGCCATTAGCTTCGAATAAAAATTCTTAATTATTTTGAGATCTTTTCCATCAATGTTAATAACTGTCAACGTTTTGCAAGTTCCTCGAGTTTGACCTTAAGTGTTTTTATGTAATCTGTAAAGCATAAATGCAAGTTCTTCTGGGTTTCAATTGATCTGTCAGAAAAACTTGCATTTTTTGCTCTATAGATTACACAAAAGCATTTGATACGGTCAAACATGAGAACATTTTATATACCCTTTTACATATTGTTTTTAAACATTGTTTTACCCCTTTTATGTATCTTTATTATTTTGAGCAACAATAACAACAAATGTTAAATGTAGAAAAATTAATTTTTAAACAATTTACTAGTGACCTGTGGAATTTGGTTGTTTTTCTTTTAAGGACTTTTCCCTGGAAATTCCTATGAGTTTATGGCCCATTTTTTTAGCATTCACAGGGTGAAAGGGTTAAGAGATTGAAGTATTTCCTATCAAACCAATGCGTAAAACGGTTAGGAGATAGGAGTATTTCTTGTCAAACCAGTGCTGAAAAACAAATTAGTGTAAAAATTGCTTTGGTGGTAAAAAAAATGAATTATTGTTTTCACGTTTCAGTTTTTCTAGTCATGATTGTTATACTGCGCTATAGAGAGACATGGTAATCACTGCTCATGGCCATGGTGATTGTGACTAGCAAGATCCGCTTGTGTTAAGGAAAGCCTTTCAAAATTATGACATTTCGGGACCAGTGTTGCATCACATGTATTTATCATGCTTCTTTTTAGATGTTTGACTCATGACCTTTCTGCAGTCATTTCGCTTAACATTCATAATTAAATGTGTCTACTTAATCCGTGTGGGTTCCGGGGCCCTATTATAGGGAAAACACAAATAGACCCACTGCCAAAAGCATGTCCTTCGAAGTCGGAGTGCATCTGCCTGAGAGGCAAGGAACCAGCAGTCTGCATACAGATGACTCAGATCTGTAAAACGGATGCACACGCAACACTCAGGTTCTGGAACAGGACTCACCAGAGTTTACAGCTGGTGAACGCAAAGAAGAAGGAAAATGTGTCTGCTAAAGTATTCCACAGATGTGACCAGTGTATTATACTGTTATACCATTTCTGTATTTTCAGGGCTCAGAAAATATACGATCACTGCCGGAACCTGAATTACTTGAATTTGTCCTAGATGACCATTTGAGGAATGCAGTTGAACAAGCTAAAAATAACTATGCCATCTTGGTATGTTTATTTGTATGGCATTAAAATATATGTGGATTTTGCGAAGCAAAAACAGACAGTGGTTGTGTTGTGTAACCTTTGTTTAATTAATATAACGATATTGGTTTACCATTTGATAAATACCAGACATTTTACAGTCAGAAGCCAGAATTTTTCAGGAATAAAATTTAGCACAGTTGATCTGGATTCATAAACACTTTCATTAAAATCTGTTATTGTCCTATTGTGCCATTATGTCATATAGGGTCTATTTCTCCATTTCATTTCATCTTGATACTGTAGATGGAATCAAGTCCCACAACTTTGGCTCCTCTCATCTCTTTGGCCCTAGGGTTTCTTTTGGATGTCCTTGTTTCACCAGTCCCTCAGTTTCCTGTCTCAGTGCTTATATAGTGATTCTCTGTTTGTCTCTTCTCAGAATATGTCCAGCAGAGCGCCATCTTTGTCTTATAACTGTTGATACCAGTGGTTGCCCAGACATTTCTCTTCTTTCTTCACCACTTTTGAGTTCCTCCCATTTTATGTTGCTTATTTTCCTCACACAGTTGCACCTTTTATTAATTTCTTGCTCAACACAGTGTCTATAATGATATGATGCTAGCAGTGTATGCCCAGTTCTCTTCATGGTTCAAACATAAGGCTTGTTTGAAAACTTTAGTTGCTAAACTTGGCGATTTTCTAGTTGTGGCTTGGAATGCTGTGCTCTCATGCAGGATATGGGTTTGAATCACCTGTAAAGTGATGGAAGTCTTTTTTTTTTAAAACTGTCATAGGCAAAAATAAAAACACTCTAACCTGCACAGTTGATGGAAAAGGCACTAGTCATGCTCCCTAAATCCTCAGGTTTAAGACCTGCCCTATACCACCCTAAAAAGTGCTAGTTCTAGTTAGTTGTGTATCCTTTACAGGACGTTTTAGAACCAACCCCAGCATTTTTTGGCTGTTTTGGTTTTTCTAGGAAAATTTTACGTTCACTAGTTTGTCATTAATTTCTGAACGGTCAGCTAGCGGTACCACAGTCAAAACCAACGCAAGACAGATCATCCGCAGCTTAGATCGAACCCGGCATCCCGGCATTACAAAGCCCGTTTGCAACACCTAAGCCACAGACGCTGAAAAATAAAGACTTTTTAAAAATTCTTCATCTTTTACATTTATTCACGCCTGCTGTCTCATTGTTATTCTGAATTATTCCACTCTAGCAGCATTTTTAGAATTTTCTGAGATTGTGTAAGGGAAGTGAACCAGTGTATAAATAAAGGAATCCATCAAGAAACTATAAATGGTGGTCCAAAGGACGTAATGATGAGAAGCTCACTCTCCTACGATATACGCCTGGCCAAATCAGATAGAGCTGAAACCTAGGAGGAAACATTAGAAATGAAAGGGCAAGAAGAACTAAATAGTTGACAACAGGATAGGGAATGAGCGGTCTGACATGGAGGAAAGAAGCATTGAGCCCACAGACGGTGCAAATACCAGAACTTTAGCCACCAAAATTGCGTAAATAAACAAGACCACAAATATAGCCGAAGACTGTTGGCAGTTCGGCTAGCTAGCAGCAGATTAAACGTGGTCGAGTTTTTGATTTTTTTCTTTAAAAGGAATTGGAATTGGAAGAGTTGGCATCACTACACTTGGGGCATTCCCATACTCCCTCCATTCCTGTCCTCAGCAGCCGATGAAGAGTTCCTATACTGATGGTGCCAGTTACAAGCTGATATAAAGTCTGCCTGTTTTTTCCATAGTGTGAAACAACCAACGTCATCCCCATGTGGGACACAATTCTTCGTTATTTTGAAGCCCCACCCTGGCTTTTGCCGCGGACCGTAATTTAACCTAATGGTTAAACGTGGTTTCTGGTGATCTTTATCCGCATGGTGTCACTTTGTCCGCATTGTGTCACTTTGTATCACCGGGTGTTTATCGCTCTGTGTATGGTCCTGGTGGGGTGAAATTTACTTACTTTCCCAGTGCATTGGAAGTCTGCTCTGTTTCTACCTAATCAGGCCTCTCCAGTAATTAAATGCTTTGTTCTCTTGCCCTTACCACTTGATCCTAGAAAACAAGTGAACTCATCTGAGATGACCGACAGCCCGCGCTCCATTCGGCGGTAAAGATATAAAACCGAACGAAAAGTATATCAGCAAGCTTCACACTATAACAAACACAAACAAAATGTAAACATTGCGGCTATGGAGCCGTCATAAGCACATACATAAATCAGACAATACCACACAAATACACAAAATCACTGTGCTGGTATCTCAAAGCAGCCGGGTCGATGACTTGTCAGTAGACGGGCCAGACACATGGGACCGGAGAATAAATACCCTCGGCGAGTTCCATGGAGTTTTTAGAGTTTATTTGGAGGTATAAGACAAAAGGAAAAAAGGATATCATATGTTTGTTGATAAAATTACTCATACTTCACAACTGTTTAAATGATATTTTAAAAACAATGCTGGTTTGTTTGTGTAGGAAATAGCACTGTATGCATATGGGGTTCTGTCATCAGTATGACAATGTGGCATGTGGTTAATGATGATTTGGACTTCTATGAAACAAATTTGGTGATCATATATTTCCCTCTGTGTCTGTAATTTACAGACAGGAGGGTACTTCAAGCATTTTCACTGACACGCTAGTTTTCCTCATTCACAGCAGTTACAGCCTCTTTTTTGTTTTAGTTAAATTTTACATAATTTTCAGTTTACACCTGTATATTATAATAGGTGTATGTGTGTGTGTGTGTGTGTGCATATGTGGCTTAGGCACTGGGAACGCGCTTCGTAATGCCGGGGTGCCAGGTTCGATCCCAGCTGCGGGCCTTGCGTTGGTTTCAACAGTGGTATTGAGAAGCTGACTGTCCAAAAAGCTATGGTAAACTACTGGACGTAAATTTGCCTAGAAAAACCACAACAGCCAGAAAATGCTGGGGTAAGTTCTGCAATATCCTGTAAAGGATACGCAACTAACTAATGGTGTGCGTGCATGCGCATTGTCTTCATAGGTTTTTATTGTTATAAACCAATTAATTATTAGAATTCAGACACAAGACCATTAAGCTATTAAGCAAGCATTCTAGCTAACATGGCTCCCCAAATCACTCTGAAACATGTTTTTCCATGTAAGTGTTGGAAGCCTCGGTAGCACAGTGGCTAGATCCTCACCAGGTCTTGGGTTCGAATCCAAATTGAGACCGATTTGTTTTTAATTTTAAAAATTATCTTTGGCTCTCAGCTTCATCCAGCTTAAAATGTGTACCTACTAGTGTCCTGGGAAGTAAAGGAGGCCAGTATAATGTTGACCATATCACCTGCTGAGTGCTGGTTGGTCTATAAAAATAAGCGTCTAGCATCATAAGTCCAGTGTGCCACTGACATGAAAAAATGGTCATCTACTTATATAAGTATGTACAGATATATCTTTGTAGCCATGCCTGTTTATATTTTGTTTGCTTTTCAGAGCCAGTGTGCTACAGCAGAAGTTCTGAAGTATACCAGATACGGCAAAAACTACTGTAAGCAGATCAAAATACACCCAGATGTGTATTGCCAGCTGGCCATGCAGTTGGCCTACTATACTTTGTATGGCAGGTGAGCTCTTCAACCATAGCTAAAGAAGGGGCATTTAGTTGTTAGTTATTTTCCCTTTCTCACCTTACACAATTGTCAGAGTAATAAATGTCTGAGCCAACAGGCATTAACTCATTTTGTGCTTTGTCCTGGGAAGTAAAGGTGATATTGACCCTATCACCTATCGAGCGCTGATTGGTCTATAAAAACTTCAGTCTAGCACCGTATGCTTTGTTTTGTTTGTTTATTCGATCAACATCATGGCACACGCGTGTAACCCATGAGTGCTCCGTTTTACTTCTAACTCAAGCCTGAGTCTGAAGAATCTCAGCGCAGGGCACGAACTCAGTTGCACCGGCGAGGATCCTGAAATACTTTAGTTAGATTTTCAACTTCAAATTTTGTCCTGGCAGCGCTACTGTTTTTTTTGATAGGACCATATGACTGATGTGCCACGGTTATAAAAAGGGTCTTTTACCTACATGTTTATATTCTGTACAAAGTAGTTCACCCAGTTAAGTTACTCCTTCAGAGGTGTTGGGCCGAATGGCACAGAAAACAAAGCCTGGCTATAAACAACAACATGGTATGTCAGCTGCCCTTTCAAGAGTGAACTCAGAAGAGTTCCGTTTACTTGATCTTCTTCTTCTTCTTTCATTCGCTTGAAATATTTGGTACAGTCTTGGAAGACAGGATCTGTTGTCTCCGGTGCCAATCCACCTGTGCACATGGCTTATTCGCAGATGTTAAATTTTGTATACATGTGGCTGAGAAATTGATTGTGTCCTGTTCTAAGGGGTAGAATAATAACTTGCTCTGGTCTGTCCACAAAATGGTAATCGTCTTGTGCCGGTTTTGATGGCTTTATGATAGATTTGATTATTCTCTTCTTTTGTTGATAAGAGACTGGTACGTCAGGTTGTTCTTTCTTATTACGGATTGCCAGAAAGAATTGACATAATTTATTTTTTGTTTATTCACTGTGTGGTGTAGAATGGCTCCTACATATCAGACAGCCCCGATCAAACAGTTCTATCATGGACGTACTGAGACCATGAGGACATGTACCTCAGAAGCAAAAGCTTGGTGTATCGCCATGCAAGATCCTTCTGTTCAAGTAAGCAAACTGTTTGTAATATAAAATGTTTTTGTAGACAAGGCAGGCAGAGAGAGGATCATGGTGCATGATGACCAGCCCATGCTTTATGCTTTGGGGTGGCCCAATCTTGACAAACAAGAACAGGTACTGCTGTATATCACTGTGTGAAGTGAAGTTTTAAGTGTGAACAATGGATCAACATCATAGCACACGGGTAGTAACCCATAAGTGCTCCTGTTCTTTCTTCTAACTCAAGCCTGAGTCCGAAGAAGCTCAGCACAGTGCAGAAGCTCTGTAGCACCGGCGAGGATCCTGAAATACTTTGGGTAGATTTTTAACTCCAAATTTTGCCCGGGCAGCGCCGCTAGGCTACTCTTTTCGATTTCCAAATGCCAAGGAAAATTTTTACGTGCATAACAATGCACACGGGCGTCCGATCTCACTACCCGGAGACCAGGGGAAATACTAGAAGTCCAAATCCACATGAAAAAATCCCAGCCCTTACCAGGGATTGAACCCAGAACCTCTAGCACTTGAGGCGGACACCATACCTCGAGACCACGCAGCTCCCACACTGTGTCAAGAAAGATGGGAAGGTGCAGCCATCAGTCTATAAGATTTACTGATGTATTAAACCATCATTGTAAAACATAAAATAAACTTTATGCAGATTTGTTTTCCTAACATGTTTCATCTAGATTTGTTGATCCTTGTGTTTATCCTTATGTTAAATTTCTGGTTTTTTCCCCAAAAAACTCTCAGCTTTTTTGTTGTTTTGTTTGTTTTATTGTGAAGCCTGAAACTTAAATTCTTCAAGCCCATTCAGTCTGAGCCTGTTTACAATAGTTTGTAATCAGGCAATCATAGTTACAGCATCACAGCAAACTGGTCACAAAGGTTATCATGGGCAGATGTGGCATCTATTTCGCACAGTTATTTTAGTAGAAGCACTAAAGATTGACAGAAAAAACCCAGAGACAATTGACAGTTGTAGGTGAACACTAATTTAATAACTGGATTCTTCTTCTTCATTAGTCATGTTCTGCCTTTCAGTATCAGGTTTTGAAGAGGCTTCAGGTTTTAGCCATGATATGAGATACATAGATACTGGCAATTATGGCCTCCGATATTCCATCTGTTCATCACTTGTATGGTGAGCCTCTAGCTCTGATTCCATTGTGTCTGAGTTACAGGGCTCTTTGTAGTACACTGTTTGGTGGTAACTTGAGACATGTCTGAAACATTTGATATGTTTTCTCTTTATGTAGTTTAGTACTGGTTCTGTCTCAGCTTGTTTCCTGATATCTTTCTGATCCTGTCTCTTCTAGTTACATTTAGGATTCATTGTCGACATTTTCATTTCTGTTTTGATTTGTCATTTTTCTTTTGTTGTTAATGTCCACATTTAGCACTGGTAATACAGTGTTTGCTCCCTGGCGGAGCTGGACTTTTTAAAAGAACGACCTTGGCTCCTAGGTCGACCCAGCCTTGAGTGGGTACCGGGTGCAGTCCTGGGAAAGTGAAGGCGGCCGGCGTGATACTGACCACATCACCCATCTTGTGCCGATTGGTCTATAAATATATAGGTCTAGCCCTATATGCCTTAAGGCGTGGGAAGGGTCCTTAACTTTACTTACTTTTTTAACACAGTGTTGGTAAAAATCATCATTATCACTCCATAACACTGTGTCTTTGAGTCACCAGTTTCTCTTAACCATCTGATCAGCTCTCTCCACCTTTGACGGTCAGATGCAATAAACTTCATAGGTGTAGTAAAAATACTGTGTTGAAATTAGTCTTTTTTTAAAAATATTTTTTAAATTTATTAATTGTTACGTTTGTTCTGAAATAATTGGTGATTGAATTTTCCAGTGGATGATATTATGCTTCCTAGATACTTGAAAATATTTGCTTGCTCGAGTGAACAGGATCCTTGTTTCTTAAAATGCACGTAAATATAATAGTGTTATTTGTGGGACGATGACAGGAAACTCACAGGCTGGTCATTTTGCACACTGTCACGTAATTATCAGAAACAAAACTCAAAATCTTTGTGTTCGAACCTTACTGATAGAAACATGATATAAACATTTGTCTGCTGAACAAGTTAACAGTTTTTCTGAATTTTTACAATGTTGAAATGATTTGTGTGATTTTCATTTTTTTTTTTTTAAACAGCAGTTTAAGATACAACTTGTACAGTTAATTGAATAAATTTGCCAACCCTGCTGCTTATGTTTTCAGAATGCTGAGAAATTGAAACTTCTACTAGCAGCTGTGAAAAAACACAGCAGCGATTTTGCTGAAGCTTGTGAATTCAGAGGTTTGTTTGATTGTTTTGTATTCTCAGCCGCTGACAAGGAAAGGGTCTGTGTTTGGGTTATGTATGCATTATGGAAGGAAGAAAGATTTTGCATATCCATGGAGACTTTAGTGAATGTGACATTTGCAGATGATGTTTTTGCATATAGGCAGGGAAGCGTAAGGCGACAGACAGCCCAAGAGCTGCAGGCAACTATAGACAGAGTGGTTGACTGGTGTGCAGAGATGGGTGCTGTCATCAGTTTAAAAAAAAAAGGTGGCTGTTTTATGGTGCTCTCTGGACAATAGAATTGTAAGAGCTAATGTTTCATGCCTTACAGTTAATGACTGAGACATCAAAAGAGAAAGCAAACTGAGGTACCTGGGTTTCATTTTTAATAGAAGCCTGTCCTGCCGTGATCATGTGGAGGCAGTTGCGGTAAAATGCCAAAAAAGGGCTCAGTGCTCTCAAGATTATGCAGCAGTGGATATGGAACAAAGAATGCTGTTCACAATGTTCCAGCATGTGATCCTGTCGGTGATAGATTATGGACTGGGAATGCTTACCATATCAAAGAGTCAGCTGATAAAACTTAAATGCATACAGAATGAGGCCATGCAGGTAATTCTGGGATGTATGCAGTATATACTTGCACTGCCTACTATTGCAAATAGGCTCAAAGTTCTGCAAGAAAAATAATATCTCAGAGTAGCTGCAGAGAAGAAGCACCTCCTGCATGAAGTTCTAAGTAGAGCTAAGGGTCACAGTCTAAAAAGAGAAAGGTCTTGAATGGGGCAAGCTGAAGATACAATCAGACATGTGTACATGCTTGATACATTTGGGCGAGGAGAGGAGTGGGTCACAGCATCTGAGCATGCTGCTGAAGATGGCGACAGAGCGCTTATGGGAGTGTCCTGAGTGCTGTGAAATTGATTCTTAATTCCACATTCAACAGCAGTGAGAACTTAATATATAAATTCAGAGGCCCAGTTTTGGGGGAAAGGGAATAGACCTACTACTCTACTAACAAGCATGTCATAGTAAGTAAGTAAGTAAAGAAAAGATCCCTTTTCACACCTTTAGGCGCATCGGGCATTCAGGAAGAGCACCCGTATTTTTACAGACCAATTGGCACTAGGTGGGTAATGTGGTCAGCATTACGCCGGCCGTCTTTACTTCCCCAGGGCATACATCCTGGTACCCATTTTAGGCTGGGTCGACCTGCGACACCCCGCACCATGATAAAATTGCACGCAGCCAGCAGTGGGTTTCGATCGCGTTATGTTGGAATTACGAGTCGGACTCCCAACGCATGAGCCATGGACGCCGCAAGCATGTCACAGGAGGTGACAAATTTGCTGTGTTTCTCTCAAAGTTGGAGTGCATCTACCGGAGAGGCCAGGAATCAACAGTTTGCTGGCAAGTAAGCCAAATGTATAAAACAGATGTGCCAGCAAAACCCTTGTTCTGGAACAAGACAAAGTCCAGAACTGTACGAATAGCCAGAACTTTCCACCAAAATTCACAGCCGGTGAAAAAAAAAAAAAAAAAAAAAAAAAAAGATTAAATTAATGTCATTACCATATAAGTTCTGAAGTTCCGATTTGTTGGTTGGAAGGAGATTAGTGTGTTGTGAAAGGTAACTGCTTCACTTTTGCTGAAATTGGATGTAGGGGCCGGAAGGTGCAGATGTGTCAACCTAGCTGTGAACCACAATATATCCTTTTAAGAGTAAATACAGAAGAAACAAATTGATGTAAAAAGCGAATGAAACATGTAACTAAAAAAACTAACCAACAGAAGACAATGAAATGGAAGAATTAACCAAAATCTTTGCCATTAAACAACAAAAAATTGTATGCAAGGAGACTGTGTTTTCAATTCATCGCCCAGCTATTTGTCGAATGAAGTTAATTTTTAGTGACGATGTCTGGCCTTGCAGTGTGTTTAAGGAGACATGCACCTTATGGTTTGCCAGATCAGTCGTGTGTGTTTTGCTGACTGCGGACACTTTGTATGGCTACGGCATTCACTTGAAGTATCCAGTGTATCTGACTCAGTTTGTGACTGGAATCACTGGCATAGGCGGTTGAGCAATTATGGGCTTGCAAGCTCACATGCTGTGATGCCAGAACCGTAACGACTAACTAACTAACTGTTTTCGATTCAGAACTGTTTTCACCTGATCTCTGTTGTTTCAGCATGTGACCGTCACTTGCTGGGATTACTGCTGATAGCTAGAGAAGAAGGATTGCCCACACCAGAGCTGTACCAAGATCCATCATTTTACAAAAGGTGTTTATGTATTTCTTTTGTTGTTAATTTTACCCCTCCAAGCCTGGAAGATTAACACCCAGCGACTCAAAGAGCCATTATTAAGTTGAGAATCCAGTGGGGACGTTCCTTTTTCTTAGTGTTCACCGGCTGATAACTCCGGTGGAAAGTTCTTGTAGTGTGTCCACTTCTTGACTTTGGTCTTGTTGAAGAACTTGAGTTTTGCATGCACATCCAATTTACAGATCTGGCTTATTTGTTTGCAGGCTGTTGGTTCCCCACCTTTCAGGCAGGTGCACTCCAACGCTAAAAGAAATACCACTAATTAGTCGCATTTTACAACACGCTTATTGGGGAGGCAGTGGGTTTGTTCTTTTTCCCAACAAATATGGAAACCACACAGGGAATAACAGTTAGTGTACTTGACGGTAATGAAGTAGTCTGTAGCCCAGTGGGATTGAGTGTATATGTTGTGTTGTTACTGGTGATGGGAAATCAAGTGTCATAGTATAGAGTTTCTTGTCTAGCATAAGCAGAACTGAATTACCAAGCCAGAAAATAATTATTAACACATTTTGGTTTAGTAGTGCCAGGTTGTAATCCACATTGATGCAGATTTTGTTTCTATGGACCTAAGGTCCTAAGTTGACCAAGCCTGAAATAGTTATCAGGAAATGTACTGGCAAGTAGACAACTGCTGTAAAATTGCCCTCATCAGTTGAATGTGGATTGGTCTATAAAATAGGTCCTTCACTCACTCACTTAGAAAGTTGACCTGTCCCCAGTAGTATAAAGAAGACAAGGGGCTTAACTCTTTCTGTCCAAAGAAATGCACAATGTGTGTTCAACCAATACCTTAGATGTATGGTGTGTTATTGTATGGTTTAAATTTTGATTGAGCATACTACAGAAACCTGGCCACTGTAAATGCTGCCTCTTTGGAAGTTACAGACCTGTGCTCTTTAATTATGTGTACGAAAAACATAAGGCAGCTTTCACTGGTATTGAAAGATATTTTTAGAGTGGAGTTTATATTTTACTTATGTGACTGCATTTAACTGTTTACAGTGGTGGTGGAGGCAACTTTATTTTGTCCACCAGTTGCCTTGGCTACAGTCCACTTGTAGGTGCGGTTCTTCCAATGTGTACAAATGGTATTGGTGCTTTTTACAGTATAAATGAAGAATGGTAAGTTATTCTGTTAATTGTTTTCTTATTTATTACAGGATTTAATTAAACCTGACTACTAGTTGGCTTAGGGGTTGTGAATGTAGTTCATAATTTTAAAATACCCTAGTGTTGGATTTGAAGCTGCATTCTCAGGGGCAGCAAGAACAGACCCATTGTCCTTTATCAAGCAAGTGGTAAAAAAGCAACTAAGGTTTTCTGAAATTGACCACTAATAACATTGTCAAACAACTATTACAAATATATCCAATGCAGTATTCCTTACAACATATCTCATGAGAGTACTCACATTTATCTGACCAGACGCCTGGCTCGCTAGCACAGTTGGCTAAACCTGACTGCGCGGCGACGAACACCTTGTGGTCCGGGTTCAGGCAGAAAAGCCACATTTCTCTCAGATTTATGGTGTCTATCATGGAATCAATGCCAAAGGGTTGTGATATCCATAGTACCGAGCCAAAGGGTTAAACTCATGGTTTCTGGATACTAAAAAAAAAAAAAAATCAATCTGACCAGACATGGTCAGGAATAAAAAACTTGCTTATGAAAATAATCTAGTAGATTTGAACATCACTGTAGAAAGCAGATGCTGGGGTAGGACTGACCATGTATTTAGATAAGACTTTAGCTCAACATTTAGACCTGTCATAGGTCTATATAAGGTCACAGTAGCATAGTTACTAGACACTGTCTCAGTGTGGGTTATGGAACATGAATTTGTTTGTGTGTTTTCAGAATTGACCTTGGCTGTCAGGTCAACACAGCCTTAAATGGGTAATTCTGGGAAGTAAAGGTGGCCAGCATGATATTAAAGCAAATAACCAGAGAGATGCCGCCTCAGTTCCCTATATCCACACTGTTCAAGAACTTTCAGTGCTAGAAGTGGCCTTATCAGCCATCTACGCACTCACAAAACCTAATCCAGTCACCAGTGGATGAAAGGACTGGTCATTGTCACCTGAGACGGATGAACAACAACAGTATCAGCCACCATGTGTCGACTGGGCTTTACAAAGTCTAGCATCATTTGACCGATACACTTTCCTACCTCTTTCCCCGCTTCGGGTGTTGAGGGAGATATAAGGTTCTCTTTCTTGCCCTTAGCTGCCTGGACCAGAGGTACATCTAATTATTGTAGAGTTTCTCAGTGAGAGAGAAAGTTAGAGAGAGTGAGAGAGAATGAGACAGTGAATGAGAGGGTTAAAGAGAGAATGAAAGAGAGAATGAAAGAACAAACGAACAAACTGAATTTTCAGAGGGTTACAAATTGAGCCGCAGGCTAATCTTACATTTGGCCCTTCCAAGCACTCATATTTCAGTCCACAGTTGCATGTTATATTTATATACAAATATACATTACGGCAGGCTGCGTGGATTTTTGTCGTGGTATGGGACGTCGCAGGTCGACCCAGCCTAAAATGGTTACCAGGATGGGCTGTCCTGGGAAAGTAAAAACAGCTGGCGTAATGCTGACCACATTACCCACAGAGTGCTGATGGTCTGTAAAAATATGGGACGCTCTGCCCATATGCCCGATGCGCCGAAAGGCGTGAAAAGGGAACTTTACTTTCTTTTTTTTATACATAATGAAATAATGTATGTACACTAAAAAATACACATGTTCACATACTCTTATATGCTGAAACATACACAGACATACGTACATACAAAATGCAGACGCATTCATAAATATCCCTCACCCCACATACACACACACACCCACATAATACACACATGCACATATGTACACATGCCAACATATACACACCTGTATACACACATCTATCCATCCTTCCATACACACACACATCCATCCATACAGACATTTACACACACACAAACACATACACCCATATACATACATAATACATGCACACATACACCCATATATATGCACACATACATACAGCCACATAAATGCATGTATCCATTCATGCACACATATACATACACATATCTGCATACATACATACATAGACACACATACATACACAATACTTACTTACATATACATACATACACCTATATGCACCCACCCTCATGTATTCAGAGAGAACATAGTGAGAGAAAGAAAAATGTGAGAATGTGTGGAAGAGAGAATGGGAGAGATACTGAGAGAATTAAAGTGAGAATGGGAGAAAAATGTGAGAGAGAATGTGAAATTGAGAGAATATGAAAGAGAGAATGTGAATTTGAGAGAATATGGAAGAGAGAATGAGAGATAGAAAGTGAGAGAGAGACAGCGAGCAAGATAGAAAGCGAGAGATCATGAGTGTGCGCATGAGTGAAAAACGAGCGGGAGTGGGAGTGAGCGAGAGCTTGTGAAAAATACCTTTAACCATCGGCAGCTGTAATGTCATCAGCGAAAAAAATAAAAATAATGCATAGATTAGCCCCATTTCAACAAGCAGCCGACTGTTACCATGGTCAATTTCTGCTTGGCCACAGGTTGATATTTAACTTGACAACTTGGAATGAAGATCAAGACACCAGCAGTGAGAGATTTGCTGAGGCTGTCAGCAACGCACTGGATACCTTGAGGAGCATCACTGATCAGCAGTTTCCTGTTACTTCAGCCAGGCTGTAACATCTGTTGTTGTCAGTTAGCACACACATCTTTTCTTGAACAACACTTGTAGATTTAATCCTGTCCTACTGTTCTCATCATTTCCTTGACAAAAACGGTGAATTTTTAATTTGTCTGTTCTCGTCTCATCCTCACTTTCAGTTATCAGTCATTAGTTGGGGCTCCAATTCCAATGCAGTCATGTAACACACACAAACACACTCCTCCCTCACCCACCTTCACATGACAACTCTGCCCCCATCCCCCAACCTTCCCATGACAACTCTGCCCCCATCCCCCAACCTTCCCATGACAACTCTGCCCCCATCCCCCAACCTTCACATGACAACTCTGCCCCCATCCCCCAACCTTCCCATGACAACTCTGCCCCCATCCCCCAACCTTCCCATGACAACTCTGCTCCCCCCTCCCCATCCCCCAACCTTCCCATGACAACTCTGCCCCCCCCTCCCCCAACCTTCCCATGACAACTCTGCCCCCATCCCCCACCTTCACATGACAACTTTGCCTCCCTCCCCCACCTTCCCATGACAACTCTGCCTCCCTCCCCCACCTTCCCATGACAACTCTGCTCCCATCCCCCAACCTTCCCATGACAACTCTGTTGCTGTGCCAGTAGACATCACACAGAATCATTGTCCCATTTGGAAACTAATGACAAACTTGTCACTGCCAGGAGTATCTTGAAACTTGCGTATGCAAAGTAAGAATGCATAAGACAGCTAATGGTACCACATCAGAACTGAAGGTCAGTGTTGGTGTAGATTTTGTTCATGGAAGCCTGCATTGCACCCACAAAACTACACCCAATTTTGAACTTACATCGACCACCTGCGTTTTAGTGCTGTCAAGAACACATCACGGGCAAAACAGAAAGAAAAAAAAAACATTCCACATGAAATCCACAACTCCCACTGTCGCAACAAACACTCAGCTGGGGAGCTGGATGATAGAACCTTTCGACTCCCGGTCCAGAATTGGGGAATTTGCATAAGCAAAATCTGACTGAAAACAACTTTTCAGGGCAGCAGAAGTCAGCCGGCTACTGGCCATTTGGGCCAGCATTCATACATTGATCTCACCCTGTCCTTGATACATTATGAAATGTAATTATTTATATTACTATGTTGTTTTTACAGTATTTTATTTAGCTACCTGTTTTGTAGCATTCATAATTTTTATGTTGAACAATTTCCCTGATGTTATTATAATAAAATCCGGTGAAACTTATTTCTTTAAAATGTAAACGATCTACAAACTGACAATTTATTGTTTTAACTTTAAGAAGCTGTTTTAACTCAATCTTGTGGCTCGGAGGTGAGTGAAATCATTTCACAATTCAACCCTTGATGTTTACCAGGGTTTGATTCCCACAGAAATGGTTTAGAAAACTCCCATCCTCATGGCTTTCATACGGTGGTGCGAGAGTTACAAACAGTATATAAGTGCATCAGTTTACCTAGGCAAATAAAAATAAAAAAGTACAATCCCTAGCAAATATTAGATTAAAAAAAATTTAAAGCAGTGTGGCTGTGGCATGAATTGTGTGTCGGATACCAATGGCACTGCACTAAGTCACCTAAAATTTTGAGAAAATGATGTTTGACCTTTGAGCGGCAAATAGAAATTGTGTAGTTTCCTGAAAAGTATACTTTGACCTATTTGGAGTAAGAATCCACGTGTGTGCTTTTGGCATTTCTGGAATGAGCATTCACATGTGTCTGCCTTAGGCATATTGTGAAGTGACAAATAACAGCCCTGTAAATTGGAATTGGATGGCTGACAATATTAAATATTATTTGTTAGAAGTGGTGATAGAAAGGAGGGGCACTGAGACATGATCTCAACAGATGTGGCCAAGTACATGTCTCAGCAACAACAACAAAAATCACACCCCAAAATAAAACAAAAATGCTATTAATGCCTGTATCTAAAACATATGCAGTCTGAGCACCATTTGGGGGATGGCAAGAACAAAAAGCTTGTCAAAAAAGGCAACTGACGGACTTGCTGAAATCGGATGTATTGGGCCAAGTTGTGCAGATATGACAACCTAGATGTAATCCATCACTCAGTGTGTCATACCCCCCTCTTCTTTTTGTGCCAACCGTTCTGAAAGCAATGGCAAACTACTGAACATAAAATTGCCTAGTTCAAACTGCCCCCCCCCCCCCCCCCCCCCCCCCCCCCCCCCCCCCCCCCCCCCCCCCCCCCACGGGGAAATGTAGTAGAAGAAAACAAAAGGACCAAGTGGTTTTCTTTTGGGTAAAGAACCTCTACATTATGATGATGCACAAGGAAGTAAAATTCTGAACCTGGAAATGTTTATAAACCGAAGAATAATGCCATATTTTCTGGAGACAGAAACAGCCAAAGGCATTGACCCTAGAGAAGCTGGAAATGAAAAGAGAGTTGGAAGATAAGATCAAGAGATGGACAACAAAAGACTGGTAGAGATACAAGAGACAATAGTGGAGATATATAGCAAGCAACCTTCACTGTGGATGTACTACCTGACTGATTGATTGTTCATTTTTAAAAAAAAAACTGACACCGGAGAGGGGGGGGGGGGGGGGCAATTTTAAGTTCAGTAATTTGCGATCGCCTTCAGAACGGCTGTCACACCGTTAAATTGACAAAATCAGTGCACAGCCGGTATTTCAGAATTATGAAGTGAATTCACAACACTTAACTCATAGATGGCGGCTGTTACTTAACAAGAATAAACTATTCATTATCTCACAGACGATGATGTGGCGGTCTCCGTGACAAAGAAGCCAAGCCGTTTGCCTCGTGCTCTAAATATTGTGCTATCTGTTCTGTGGAGAGACTGAGCCGTATGGGAATTTAACCCAGTGCAATGAAGTTGATCCTCTCGACTTTATCTCACCGATGTGTAAAAAATTAAAAAAAAATGAATTCAAAATATGGGAAATGGGCTAACAATAAGAAAACAGGTATTAACAAAGTTGTTTTTAAACAAATCTAAAGATATAGGAAATAGGCTAGCATTGTTAAAACGTGTTTTTAAAAATCTAATTATATGGGAAATGGGCTAACAATGAGAAAAAGAAAACAGGTTAAAACAGCTATTAACAAAGTTGTAAAAAAAAAATCTCATAAATCAAAAGGGAAACAGTCTAGATAAAAATTCACTGATTACTGTGATGATTACAGTTGTTTATGCATGTGATGTGACACTATGTATTGATATGATAACAGATTTCAGCTATGTAACACAGTCCAGTGTTACCTTGTGTCTAGCCTTTGTTAACCATTTAATATCTTGTCTATAGCTTTTGTAATGAACCATCCAATGTGTTGTTTCATGAAAAAATAAATGATTCCAGAACTGTTGTAAACTCAACGTAAAATGTGTCTTTTAGTCCAGGAATGTAGAATTAATTATTTAACAATAAAATTACATTGAAGCCACAGAAATTCATTTTTTGTGTAAATAGAAGAAATGACAATGATGCCAGAAATGAGAATATACTTTATACATATGAATGCTTTGTACACTAGGTGACATCCCCAAAACAGTTTGTCACAAACATTGGAAAGAACAAGTCAACATTTATGTCTAATTAATTTTCATTGTCCTGCCATTATATATCCCATAGGGCTAGCAGTCTATTTCTCCATTCCAATCTATCCTGTGTCATCACTTTGATATAATGAATAGAATCCAGTCCATCACCTTTGGCTTCTCTTATCAACATTCACCTTAGGGTTTCTCTGACTTGATGACAAGAAGACTATGAAAAAAAAAACCTGGTCGCATTACAAGGTTTGGTTAGTTCCACTATAATTCCCACCCAGAGACCGCCCATTTACATTACTAGCTCACTTCTGATTGGTCGACCTTGAGTCGCCCAACCTTCGCACACTGTACGGGGGTGTTTAGCAATGCTGTTGATATCGTGTGTTGTATATTTAATCACGCCAGCGCTTTTAACACTACAAAAACGTTTGGAAACCGAGTCTAACACACAACTTCCCTAGAGAATGCTGCAGCCTATGTCACAGGCATTCTCTTTCTCAGAAGAAAAAATGTAAATGCACGACAAGCCAGAAAGCAGACAACATAGCAGCAAAATTGATTTTTATTATCAAAGAATTGGGTAGATAACCTTGTCAAACATTATATCTGTCTTGTTTCTCCCCTGTCATATATATTTCATGCGTACGTCTATAAGGTTAATCTTAATAACAATACATTACTAATTATTATGGTAGGGAGCTTTCATAATGTACAGGTTGGCTGCTTGCCCGCCAAACCAAAAGACCCTCGGTTTGAGTCCACATGTGGAGTTTTATCACTGTTCTGGGCTCCAGGTCGCCCAGCCTAAAAGTGCGCACCAGGAAGTCAAGGTGGCTGGCCTGATGTTGATTGTAACAGTCAGTGTGTGCTGATGATCTGTTTGTCTGGCAGCACATGCCTAATGCAGTGTCTGAAAAGGGGCCTTCACATTTTCCTTGACTGTTATGGTATCTGTCTGGGCAGATAATAAGAGAGAATGCTTTGTAGAGTAGGATTTTTTAGGGAACAGGTATTTTATACTGAGATTCCTTGTGTGGGTTTTTTAAGGGAACAAGTATTTTATACTGAGATTCCCTCTGTGGGTTTTTAAGATATTTAAGGGAACAAGTATTTTATACTGAGATTCCCTCTGTGGGTTTTTAAGATATTAAAGGGAACGAGTATTTTATACTGAGATTCCCTCTGTGGGTTTTTAAGATATTAAAGGGAACGAGTATTTTATACTGAGATTCCCTCTGTGGGTTTTTAAGATATTAAAGGGAACGAGTATTTTATACTGAGATTCCCTCTGTGGGTTTTTAAGATATTAAAGGGAACGAGTATTTTATACTGAGATTCCCTCTGTGGGTTTTTAAGATATTAAAGGGAACGAGTATTTTATACTGAGATTCCCTCTGTGGGTTTTTAAGATATTAAAGGGAACGAGTATTTTATACTGAGATTCCCTCTGTGGGTTTTTAAGATATTAAAGGGAACGAGTATTTTATACTGAGATTCCCTCTGTGGGTTTTTAAGATATTAAAGGGAACGAGTATTTTATACTGAGATTCCCTCTGTGGGTTTTTTAAGATATTAAAGGGAACGAGTATTTTATACTGAGATTCCCTCTGTGGGTTTTTAAGATATTAAAGGGAACGAGTATTTTATACTGAGATTCCTCTGTGGGTTTTTAAGATATTAAAGGGAACGAGTATTTTATACTGAGATTCCCTCTGTGGGTTTTTAAGATATTAAAGGGAACGAGTATTTTATACTGAGATTCCCTCTGTGGGTTTTTAAGATATTAAAGGGAACGAGTATTTTATACTGAGATTCCCTCTGTGGGTTTTTAAGATATTTAAGGGAACAAGTATTTTATACTAAGATTCCCCATGTGGGTTTTTAAGATATTTAAGGGAACGAGTATTTTATACTAAGATTCCCTCTGTGGGTTTTTAAGATATTAAAGGGAACGAGTATTTTATACTGAGATTCCCTCTGTGGGTTTTTAAGATATTAAAGGGAACGAGTATTTTATACTGAGATTCCCTCTGTGGGTTTTTAAGATATTAAAGGGAACGAGTATTTTATACTGAGATTCCCTCTGTGGGTTTTTAAGATATTAAAGGGAACGAGTATTTTATACTGAGATTCCCTCTGTGGGTTTTTAAGATATTAAAGGGAACGAGTATTTTATACTGAGATTCCCTCTGTGGGTTTTTAAGATATTAAAGGGAACGAGTATTTTATACTGAGATTCCCTCTGTGGGTTTTTAAGATATTAAAGGGAACGAGTATTTTATACTGAGATTCCCTCTGTGGGTTTTTAAGATATTAAAGGGAACGAGTATTTTATACTGAGATTCCCTCTGTGGGTTTTTAAGATATTAAAGGGAACGAGTATTTTATACTGAGATTCCCTCTGTGGGTTTTTAAGATATTTAAGGGAACGAGTATTTTATACTGAGATTCCCTCTGTGGGTTTTTAAGATATTAAAGGGAACGAGTATTTTATACTGAGATTCCCTCTGTGGGTTTTTAAGATATTTAAGGGAACAAGTATTTTATATTTAGATTCCCTGTGTGGGTTCAGGAGCCCCAGAGTGGGAAAAACAAGTATAGACCCACTGCCTACCCACAGTAGGCATGTTGTAAGAGTAGACTAATTCAGAGCTTTTTCTAAAGGTCACAGATAACTTGTTGATAATTTATTTTTTTTCTTAGAGAATTTTGTGAATCAGTTTAGCCTTGTCAAAAAAATGGGTGTTGTGGTAGTGCAGGGGCATGAATTCTCCTTGTTTAAAATTGACCTGGGCTGCCAGATCAACAAGCCAAAAAATGGGCACCAGGAAATGTTTCTAGGAAGTAAAGGCTGTGAACATGATACTGACTACCCAGGATATCAATCTAATATATAAAATTATAGTTCATTTAACCATATACTCCATACTTGAGAAAGATGACATGGTGATTAAATGCCCGATGAAGCTGGATGTGTTGGCCAAAAGGAGTAAATATCGCAGTTATGCTGTAAACAGGCACAACGCAACTATAACACTTGGACGAACAATGAAGAAGAAGAGAAGCATATACTCTATACATCTCAAGACTTGGATACTGGCTCTGTAAAAAGTAAGCATTTAAAGAGACACAGAAAGATAGCAGTAAAAGATACATGGGAACATTTTTTTTATTGTGGCATGGACAAACATCAGCAATATTGTACTTCTTCTGTGCAGCCCACAAAAAAGCAACGACATGTGATTTACAGCTAGGCTGTGATATCTGCACCTGTGTGCCAAACACATACAATTTCAGCAAAACTTCAATCAGTAGCTTTCATAACATGTTAGGGGACAGTGCCCCCCCCCCCCCACAACAGGGCCACAGAACTCACACAGACATCAGCAACAATCCTGATACTTCTTGTGTGGGTTATGGGGCAACAGACATTCTGCGCCTAACACACAGGTCATAAAAGGCAATTAATTAGGGGTGTTCCACTCAGAGTACATCTGCCCGAGAGGCCAGGAACCAAAATGTTCGCAAACAGATAAGCCAGATCTGTAAAATGTATGTCCACACACAACTCAAGTTCTGGAACAAGAGCAAAGTCCAGAAGTGGACGAACAACGAGAACTTTCCACCAAAGTTTACAGCCAGTGAATGCTTAGAAGAAGAAAAACTGATACATTCTCTTGGAGATGGCACGACATGGAGAAACATAATTTCCCACATCAGTTGGCAAGGCAATTGATGGAAGGAAGGGTCACACGGCTACTGCTGTCATATATGAACACAAAAAAGCACAATATACCTGCCATAAGAACACAAACACATTTAAGCTGTAGATACAAATAAAATAAAATTTATTTTTCATAATATGTGATCCTTCACCAAATTTGCATATTTTAACTGTGAAATATTGGTAGGACATAAAAGCAAACCAGACTGTCTATCTCCCCAGCCCCTCCCATGTGGGCTGCTACTGAGGTTTACCTGTGTGACCTGAAGAGTCACTTCCTGAATGACAAACCAACAGGGCAAATACCAGATACCCATTCAACCCCTAAGGAAGCTATAATTAGGGAATCTGCAACTGCTACACCAGATATCTCGGTGTATCTTGCAGCTCTGTCCAGGTAAAAATCTGTGTAAAGAGTGACACTGGCATATTTATAACTGAAAGAACGCAAACATACAAGTACTTGGGGACAAATTTCAACTGCCCTTGCACACTAAGAGAAGAAATACTAGAATACAAACTGGAAATAAGGTATACAATGCTCTATCTACAACATCTGCTAAAATCACATTCTCCATCTCATAGCACCAAGATCACAATATATAAAACTAATTGTCCTATTTGGCTCTGAAATCTGGACTACAAAAGATATGAGGGCTTCATACACATTTTCTAGAACAGTCATATGATGAATATTTGGACCAACAAAGATGGAATGACAGAGAAAGGAGAGTAAGGGGATAAAACTCATAGTTTCATATCCTTTACAAGATGTTGCAGAACCAATCCTAACTTTGGGAGGGGGGGGGGGGGGGGGCTGATTGTGATTTCACAAAGCAATTTTACATAATCTGTTTCAATCACCCTTAATTACTGGCACCATGAGGGCTAATTGACTGCTATAGTTAAGGCATAGAGAGAGAATGGTATTCTAAGAGAGACAAAAACTGCGTAATAAAAGAGTTGAATGGCAGAAGACCACCAAGAAGATTGTGAGAGATGATATTCAGGCAGACCTACAAACACTTGGAAATACCAACTAGGAAGAGAAGAATGACAAAGACGAATGGGTGATAGATATCTGCAGCAATGAACCTCAAGGGCTTGAAATGATGGGGGAAAAAAAGAAGTGCAAGAGAGGACTTTGGTACTGTGGCGTTCTGTTATAACAGGTCACCTAAAATTGTTTTCATAGTTGCAGCACAGCATATTAGCAAATCTTGTCAAGAGACTTATAGTGAACTAAATATAAGAAACACAGTAACAATTATTATCATCAGAAGGCTGTAGCTTGGAACATCTTTAAAAAAAATATAGTTCTCATATAGCACATGATTTGTGCAACATTCGCACAGATGCAGATTATTTATTAGTTAAAAAAGTAATGGCACATTGTGATTTGATCTACACCTAGGCTGGGACATCTGCACTTTTCAGTCAAACACATCACATTTCAGCAACTTCTTAATTTGTTTCCTTTTATGACTTGCTTAAGTTAAGGGATAGTAAATCTAGCCTCTTTGCTGACCTTTCCTCCTGAAAATGAATTTCTAACCAACCCACATGGGGAAACTATTAAGCCTGATTATGTCGTAAACATTAGTCACTTTACAGTAATGCATTACCTCATCAGATTCTTGGAAGACTTTTGGAGTTTTTTACTCCTATAAGCCATGCCAGAGAGGACTCTCTTTGTCCCTGGCCAGTTCTGCTGTCTCCTGTACCCAAGAAATTTCCAATATCTTGTGTCCACCTTTGTGTACAACACTTAGTTATCATAAATGGAATCCCACGTCCTTTTTTTTTCTTGTGTTTCTTCAATCTTCAAAAAAGGACTGTACTTACTAACAGTGAGAAGTAGAAAAGAAGTGGAAAGAGGTGAAAATAAAGTTCTACTTTATGCAGACTGCTGATATGGAGCTGAGCATCATAGATAGAAAATCAAATGACTATCTTAATTAATAAATTATTATCACTACAAAAAGTGCAAGATCAAAACTAAATATAATCATAACCGCAGGACCAAGTACCCCAGCTCAAATAAATGCAAAGATCACTTACATTAACAATGACAAGGTTCTCATACCAGATTTCACCTACTTACCTTCATCTCTGTGGCTCAACTTCTCATTCCAGTTTCTGACTCCAAGTTTTTGTAGGCTGGCCTTATATTTTCTTTCCATTGTCTTCTTTGTCTGCCTTGAAGTCCACCCCCATTCATATATTTTGTGTAGGACATTTCTGTCTCTCTGTTAATTGCCAGTTTATATGCCCCAATCACTGCAGACTGTTGGATGCCTTTACAGCAAGCAACTTTAATAAATATTTAGCCCAGACAGAAAAACGTTTGTACTAGGTCAATGGTTCTTTCCTCATTATGATCTGAGTTTATCAACATTCCTTGCTTGTTTTACAAGCATGTAAAACACATACGAACATATTTACAATATCTCTGAGGAAATAAGTGAACTATTCACACCGCTTTAATGCTCTGAGAATCTATGCTCTGTGGGGCTGACTGCTGGGAGAACTGTGATATGTTGACTGGGGTGGCACCCAGCCCAGATAAATGGAAGAAATATGATTGCTTCTCCACCTGAACTGTAACACTGAGCACACCGGCTTCCTTTAACAATGATGTCACCTGAAAGTGAGAACAACACATGAAATCAAATTTGAGGACGAAGAATATCAGAACACAGAAATATGTAATATGTCAAGAAAACATATGCCAGCAGAACAAATACAACATCACAGCACACAAGTAGAATATTGCAACAACAAAAATGAGCAGTTAAAATATGACAGCAAAACAGCTTAAAAAAGAAAGAACAGGAGAGTAGATCCAAAAAATGTTGAAAAATAAAAAAAACAGAAAATAAACATAAATAGAACACTTTTAAAACGGAATGAAGCCATTTTATTTCATAGACTATGGATCAGGGTGGCTAAGTGATTAGAGTACTGAGTTCACTTGCAGGAGTCCTGGATTCCATCCTCTATAATAGATGAAGATTTAGCCACGCAGCCCCAAATTACCTGAGCAATAATTCTTCGTTCTTGTGGCAGTGATATTAGCTGACTGACATACCTGAGCAATAATTCTTTGTTCTTGTGTCAGTGATATTAGCTGACTGACATACCTGAGCAATAATCCTTTGTTCTTGTGTCAGTGATATTAGCTGACTGACATACCTGAGCAATTATTCTTTGTTCTTGTGTCAGTGATGTTAGCTGATTGACATACCTGAGCAATAATCCTTTGTTCTTGTGCCAGTGGCCAAGCCTGTACATGAATCATTCCATAGACTTTTGTGGCTGTGTGATACCAGAAGTGAGGCTCCCTGTATGACAGCACCCCTTCTACAGCTAGAATCTACATAAGACACAAATGTTATCATTTATAACAACATCACTGGCAAATTTCTGTCTTTCCAGACAATACATGTTATACTGTGCTATAGGGAGGTGTCATAGGGAGAATCATAGTCTATGGTGACGGCAAGTGTGACTAGCAAGATCTAATCGGGTTAACCCTGTCTCCCCAGGAAAGTTGAAAAACTGGACCATGACCCAGTGGGCATTTCTGAACCAAAAAAAAAAAAAAGCTTTAAAAACTATTTTACACAGGTCACTCATATATTTTTTTAATTTGATTTATCTATTTTTAATTTCTGACACTCCAAAATATATAAAGAAACATAAGGGGAGTAATCCATAAACACTGACAGGAGAGAAGCATAAAATGGAATACAATCCTCAGAAACTAATAAACATTATGTATTGACATACTGCCAACACAGCTTCACCTAAACCCTAGGGGGCTGCACTGCCTACCAGTTTCATCTTATCTTCAAGTGACGGCCCCTGGTATATCCCCGGACATCTATTTTCAAAGTCCCACATGCCTCGCCAGACTATTGTCTTGACACTGACCTGGCTGCCACGAGATACGAAGATAAGTGATATTGTGTATTTCTGTAGTATTGTCTATTCTATGTATGTGCTGAAGAAGGCTCCATAGCCGCAACATTTACGTTTTGTTTGTATTTGTTATATGGTGAAGCTCGCTGATATACTTTTTGTTCGGTTTAATATATTTCCTTGATATGCATTGAGGGACTCATGTCGTGACCTCATGACCTCTATCAATAAGGCTTACAGAAACATTTGATGTCAACTTGGCAGTACAAAATCATTTGGTTCATATAATAACACTCCTAAATGCTAAACCATGATCTAAACATTTTCGCAGGCACAAATGCAGCCAACAGCTTTAATTACACATCTCATTAACAGGTCAGTGTAGACAAATAGAAAAAGTGACATTTACGAGATTAAAACTCACACGGAAATGGTTTTGTGGCTTCTCAGAGTGACAGGGTTCAGAGAAGTCATCCATAATTATAGCATGGGATTTCAGGACCAACGTTGCCAAAGCATCATCCAATTTGCCTCTTTTCAGATGCATGGCTTCTAACTAATCTGCAGTAGTTTCTCCTCTACCACTTATCCCTTGCTGATTTTTCTCCTCCATGCAACATGGCATCCTGTTCCCATAAATCAACCTCAATACCTATATCATTCAGGTTCCATTTACATATTTCTTTATATCACAGAAGATATCTTCTACCCATCTGTAATTCACCACAGAGGACGTCCTTAGGGACCTTGCTAGACTAGGTATATCGATGATTGTTCTTTCACCTTACTGGGTCGTGTTCGACCTTAAAATAAAGTGGACATGGTGAAGGCCCAAGATGAAGCAGGCAGTGCAACAGAACAGAGTACCTTATCTTGAGAGACTGATTCACCTGTCAGTGTGAAGAGAGAGGGTCTGGACGATTTTCAATATGCAGGGAAAAAGACAAGCAGGTTTTGAAAAATCAGGTTCCATCTGGCACCAGTATAGGAACTCTTCGCTGGCTTCTGACCAGGTTCAGCAGGTTTGGGAATGTCCCAGGTGCAGTGATATTAATTCTTGATTCATTTATTTACCTTTTCTAAAGCCGCACTGATTATCTCTTCAGATTCTGAAGGTGATCTTAGGTTAGGAGCAGGATGCTGACAGTTCCCTTCAGGAGAGGTATAACACTAAAAAAATAGGGTAGCAATGAAGAAGGAAGGAGCAGATGGGATCAGCGATGTTCCATCCAAAGACTCTCAATGAGAAGCTTGTTAAAATGTCTTATTTGTGATTGCTATTTAGAATATTTCAAGATTTGCAATAGCTGGTACAAACCCTGAAGCTAAAGTTCTTTAATATAAATTAATAATAAATAGTAAATTAAAAAACACTACTTTGAAATGTGTGCAGGAAACAGACAATGGAATAGCACTGATTGTTCTCCCTACTTACCTTTTCTAAAGCAGCAATGATTGTCTCTTCATATTCTGAAGGTGACCTTAGGAGCAGGATGCTCACAGTTTCCTTCAGGAGAGGTATAACACTCAAAAATATCATGGTGGCAATAAAGAGGGAGCAGATGGGATCAGCGATGTTCCACCCAAAACTCTCAATGAGAAGAGTGGATACAATGACACCCACACTGCCCATTGTGTCTGCAACCACATGCAAAAAGACACCTGAAAAGAGTTAAAAAGCATAAGCTTATTTTAAAACTTCCCTAAAATATGCAACAGATAATCTTCAATAATATATTTCTTTCTCCTTCTTATACGCCATGTGTGGTGTTGGCTATCGTATGTGTGAACAGCCATTTGTCTTGAGTACTGCCAATCATTTCTGATATTGATGCTCATTGCTTTATTAATATCAGACCCCAGATGACATCACAGGACAGTCCAAAATATTAGTGGGTGGTAAGACTGGGTTTCCCGGCTTTCTGATGCTTTTAACGACCCCAAAAAATATCTCGAACTGGCCGAACTGGCCCTAACCCTAACCCCAACCCACCTACGTCCCACGAGAGAGTGCAGCCTAGGTCTCACGACTGCATGCAGCCTAGGTCCCATGACTGCATGCAGCCTAGGTCCTACAACTGCTCGCAGCCCATCTTCCACCCCCTGAAATATTAGACTGTCCCGTGACCTGTGGATTTCCCCTGTTTGGGGTAGGATATTAATAAAGCACCAGATGCTCTCCATGCCCGCTATGATGTCAAACTAGCATTTCTCTCTCTTGGTCTTCATCTGCCTTTATTTCTAACTCTGTTATTGTCATAATGGCTTCCAGTGCATACTTCTATCTCAGTTATTGTCATAATGACTTCCAGTGCATACTGTGGATAGGCACATTTATTGTTTTAGTCATGGTGTAAGTTTCTGCTTCTGACAATAGCTGGCTGCAGCATTCTCCTGCAGATGTGGACTGAAAGTATACAATTTTCTGAAAGGATATAGTTTCATCACCCAGATACTGAGATGAGTGCATGGCATGACACTGTGAGCTGTGGATTTTATTAGAATGCTGTAGGACTCTGCCCAATAAGGTTTGTATTGTGAACAGTAGCGTCAGAAATTACCCGTGGCTGGTTGCTACAGAACTGGTGGTGCCTTATGTAATTAATCGCTTGTGCAACTACTTATCTGTTGTAACTGCTGCTTTCATCGATAATGAACTGCATTTCTAATGTTGGATGGTTTGTGTTGGCACTTCTGATGGCAGTCTTATGCATTAAACGCGTGTCCATTTTTCCACAAGGGACAGTGATGGAAATTCTGTGGTTTTCACTGGCACAGAAAGGAAGCAGCCGTGGGGGTGACCTGTTTGCTATGAAGTCGGAACTGCCATTACCTGATAATGTATTCCATTGTTTGGAGTTCTTTTCAGATGTGCCCCAAGTGGTTTATGTTTGGAACTGCAGATTCAGAAAAACCTGACTCTCCTAGTTCACACATAACTCTTGCAGTGCAAACAACTATATACAAACATACCCTGCTTAGTTTACACAATCCGTATGTACACAAATATTTCTCCTAGCCCATACAATCATGTACTTACATACCTGCCCTGGTCCACACAATTGTGTATACTCATACCTATCCTAGCACACACAATCATGTACACGCATACCTCGACTAGTTCAAACAATCAGGTACAAATACCTCTCCTAGTTCACATAATCATGTACTCACATACCTCTCGTAGTCCACACATACCTCTCCTAGTTCATACAATCATGTACATGCGTACCTCTCCTAGTTCAAACAATCAGGTATACATACCTCTCCTAGTCCATATAATCATGCAGTCACATACCTCTCGTAGTCTACACAATCATATACACACATACCTCTCCTAGTCCTCACAATCGTGTACACACATACCTATCCTAGTCCACACATACCCATCCTAGTCCACACAAAGAGGTACATACATACCTCTCCTACCTACACAATCGCACACATATATACCCCCATCTAGTCTAACACAAGTTACCTTCCATATTTGTGTTGTGGTGAGAATGTCCTGAAGTAGAACAAGTATCTTGTGAAGAACCATGACTGTGACCGTGACCTCCACCGTGACTATGGCCATGACCTCCACCGTGACTATGGCCATGACCTCCACCGTGACTGTGGCCATGTGAAAGTGAACTTTGAAACACAAAAATACCTACTAGATTCACCAAAAGTCCTAAAACCGAGACAGTCTGAAACAACAAATAAGCTCAGCTGTTAATAATTTCAAAGAAAAAAAAAAAAAATTTGGTGTGCATGCACATGCACATAAACCCATATCTGCATTCTTATTTTTTTTTTAAATGTGGCAGTTTTCATAACACATTATATATTTTAGCTGTACTGCTGGTGTCTGTGGCTTAGGCGCTGAGAAAGTGCTTCATAATTCCGAGCTGCTAGGTTCAATCCCAGGTGCGTGTGTTTTGACAGCAGACCCCCTTGCACTGGATTCCAGTGATACCGAGAGCCGACCATTGAGGAAGCATTGGCAAACAACTGAATGTAAAGTTGCCTAGTGAAATCACAAACTAGCTATAATGGAAAACAATTTGCATCACCAGATTATATATTTACCCCATGGTATCCCTCCATCTTTCCAGATGATAGTGTTCTTCTTTTTCATGTTCACCGGCTGTAAACTCCGGTGAAAAGTTCTGGTTGTTTGTCCACTTCTGGACTCTATTCCTGTTCCAGAAACTGAGTGTTGCGTGCACATTTGTGCCACAAGTCTGGCTTATCTTCATGCAGACTGTTGGTTCCTTGCCTCTCAGGCAGATGTACTCCCGACTTTGAAGGAAAGCTACCAACTGTAGACTTTTACAACATGCTTTTGGGCAGGCAGTGGGTCTATTCTTGTTTTCCTCACAATGGGGCCCCAGAACCCAAATCGGGACCAGATGATAGTGTTGTACTGTGCTGTAGGGAGGCATGGAAACTACAGCCCATGGTGACAGGCAATTGAAGCCAGAGATGAAGGTCCTCATCTCTATGGCACACAGTGTGAGTAGTACTGTAGAGACCCCGCAGCGGGAACCCTTTCTTATGCTGCCTTGTTTCATCCAGAGGAAAGGTAATACCAATTTGTTTGGAACAAAGCATGATGCAGAATAGCGGTGTTTTGTTTTTTTTTCATTTATTTCACCCCAACACTGGGATTCCAAGATTTTGTGGGGGAATTCCCGGGAAAGTTTAATAGTATAGGGGTGTTAAGGTATGAAATGAATACTGACTAACACTAACCCTAACACCCCCCCTCACCCCCATACTGGACTTTCCCAGAATTCTCCAAAAAAATCTTGGAGTCTCCAAGATGGGGGGAAATAAAAGAAAAGAGCTCTGTTTGCTCATATGTTGCAGCTTTCCTTCTAGACCAGCTGCCAACCAAGGCTAAGGGTCTGGTCAGCCCTGCCACAATATTTAAGTGTTCAGGTTGCTTTTTCTTTTCCTAGGATAATGCACTTATCCTCCACAAAACATGCCTCTACTAACCTCTTGGACAGCCTCAATAGGTAAAAATAGTTGCCTGGGTAAGCTAACAAAATTAAAACCTTATTCGGCAAACATAAGAAAAAATATTATCCTCATCGGTGCACATATGTTCAGTCACCATCATCACCCACTTGTGCCATATATGTCACACAGGGCTCAGAGTGTATTCTTCCATTCCATCCTGTTCACTTGTTTCAAATGCACACACACACAGGCTCAAAATGAGGCAGTCAAATATTTCAGGGGGTGGTAGATTAAGCGTATAGTTTTAGTTAGGGTTAGGTCAACGCACAAAAACCCTGGCCTTGGAAGAAATGCGCTAAAGCACAGAAAACATGAAAAATCCGCTCTTACCACCCTCTAAAATACTGGACTGCCCTGTGACGTCATTTGTGGTCAGCTAAAAAGAAAGCACCGAATTAAAATCTAGAACTACAGTGATAAAAACTAGCACTTACAAGTAATCTTTCAGTCTTGACCTCTGGTGGCTCAAACAGTCTACCCAAGGCTTCAGCAAACACAAAGATGGCAATGACAACTAAGAAAAGTCCATTGATGAAACCAGACAGCACTTCCACACGATCAAATCTGTTTGAAATCATGTATTAAAATCAGATAAAACTGCAATGCCTGTATTTACCATTGTTGTGGTGTAGGTGTGGGGGGAGCGCTTTGAGACTGAGGATTTTGGGGCGTATGGCTAGTGCAGCTGCCAAGGACTTGCAGGTTAGGATTTTATTGTTGCTCCCATCAGGGAAAAAATCCACAACCTTACTGAGGATTCAAATCTTCCGTTCGAGAGCTTGGCATTCTGAAACATTTGGCCAGCCACATCATTAAAATTAGATACAGATTAAAAAAAAAAAAAAAATAAGCCAAGAGTATTACAAGATTAATGTAATCAATACACAAGCAAGAATTACTTTCTGAAGCTTCTTTTTTTTTCGTGTTCACCGGCTGTAAACTGTGGTAGAAAATTCTGGTTATTCATCTACTTTCTCAACATTAGTCTTGTTCTAGAACTTGAGTTTTGTGTGCACATGCATTTTACAGATTCTGCTTATTTGTATGCAGATTGTTGGTTCCTTATCTCTCAGGCAGATGCACTCTGACTTTGAAGGAAGCATTTATAATTAGTCACATTTTACAACATGACCCCCCCTCTTCCCAGGGACCCCGGAACCCAGACAGTTCCTTGAAGCCACCAATATGGCTGTGCCATGGGCACCCAAAATGAGCAATGTTAATGTTCTACAAGTTTTCTTATGATGGATGGGACACGCAACATGACAAAAGTATACCAGAATATCTTTTCACTGAATCACACAGGGGAAAAAAAAAGACGATAACTAGACTCAGACCTGAATACTATAGGTAGGACATAGTGGGAACTACGACTAATAGCAAACTAGTCACCCCATATTTTCCTATCCCTCAGCCAGTGAAAATTACACGGAATGCCCTTGAATGTCCCAACTGAAAATGAGTGAAAACATAAAAACCAATGAAAAACATATCAGTCCCATCTAAATTCAAAAGCCTGCACATGAAAAGTAAATACACAAGGTAGATGCCATATGTGTCAACACTAACAGTCTGCCATTAGAATAGCAGTTATTGTTGAAGGATGCAGTCAATTACCATAAACCAGCATTTACACATGCAATGATGCATAGGGCATAAATCAGTCCAGACATAACCGGCCACCACCATTTTCAGTGAAGGTCAAAATAAAATGCAGCAGGCACAGGGGAAAATGAAATTCATAGCTCACAGTGTTGCACCCTGCACTCAATTCAGTAGCTGGGTAACAAAACCTGTAAATTCCCAGTTCAGAAATGGGGGAAATGTGTCAGAAAATATCATGGCCAGAAGTAAATAACACTCTTAAGTCCTCAACAGAACACTGACTAGAAGTCAAAGTTAGAATGGCTTGGAATGAGTTGTTTGAGGTCCTTTACTCTAGAAGGGATATATAGAAGGAGGAGGAGGAAAAGAAAAAGGTGGAGAAGGATAAGAATAGGAAGAAGGTCATTTGGAGGTGTGCCAGGTGTTAATGAACATTAATTTTTGTTGATAAAACGAGATTCGAGTGATACTAACCCGTAAGAAAATATTCTCGTGGCCTTCCATCTGACCATGATGGAAGCATACAGACCCATGACCAAAGCTGAGCAGTCAAACAGCATGTGAAACCCATCTGAGATCAGACCCAGGCTGTTGGTCCAGACTCCATACAGCAACTCCACAAATGTGAAACCTGCAACCAAATAAACAAAAGTTTGAGGATTTATTTAGAAAGTGTGGAGATGTGTGAAGGCTGATATTTACAAACTTGGGGATAACATGCTTAGCAATCCTAGGGGCTGAATACAAAAAATGTACATGGACATTTCAGTTTACCTACAATTGTAGCTAGAATAACTAATACACCTTCTCCTAGACTGATAACCTATGTGACTGATAACCTATGTGACTGATAACCTATGCGACTTACAACCTGTTAGACAGAATGGAACACAGTCATCAAGTCAAGGAGACCCAGCATAACAACAGAAATGCATTACTTGTCACCTTGTGAAAACGGGAACAAACGAATCTATTTTTCTTTATTATTCATAAACCAAATTTAATCAGATAACAAAAAATATGACAGCTGATTTTCGGGTGCTTGAGACTCAACAAAGTTAATGACACAGAACACGGAATTTCTTATTTATGGACTGAAAAGCTTCACTTTTAAACATCTGCACTAGGCTGCCTGACGGCGTCGGTGTACTAGGCGTTGCGAACGAGCGGGATTTGATCCCAGCTGCCGATTGTCTGCCTTGAGTTGGTTTTGACAGTGGTACCGAGAGCTGAGCGCTCAGTTAGCAGTGGAAAACTACTGAATGTAAAATTTGCCTAGATTGACCACAACAGCCAAAAAATGCTGGGGTTGGATCTGCAACATCCTGTAAAGTATAGGCAACTAACTTAACTGTGTAATGCACTAGCTTGCTGGTCAAATGTAATAACATGTTCTGGGAAATAAAAGTGGCTGACATGACATAGGACCCATCAAATATTGATTGGCTTGTAGAAATATGGAGCTAGAACAACGTGTTCCATAACTTATTCATATTCTCACACACAAAGGAATGCACATAGGTCTAGTGAAGCTATGAGGGTTGGCCTAATTATAATTTCTGTAAAGGTAAACAGGTCCTTTGATTGTGCTATCCATGTGTGGGTTCTAGGCCCATTTTGGGTGTAGAAAGAAGAGAAAAAAGTTTTGTAGTGCATCTGCTTTAAAGGCGGAGAACCATCAGTCTGCATAAAAATGACCCAGAACTGTAAAACAGAAGTGAACAAAGAGCCAGAACTTTACACCGGAGTTTACAGCCAGGGTATGCTAAACAGATGAAGTAGACTGTATTATATTTCAAAGAAAAGCAGTCAATATTAATCTACTGTCACATTAAAATAAAAACTTACATAGATTGATTACAAGGAAGTAAAATATTTTCCTAGAGTCACCATCTTCCAGGATCTGCCTCAAGCCACTCTTGAGGACAGACAGAATTGAGTGTGATGTTTTCTGCAGTGCTTCGCTGGAGATGGAGTACAAGGGCAGGCCTGCTGGGTTGTAGCCAATGAAACTTCCTTTGACGGCCGTCCTACCTCTGGTCATCAGCATACGAGTTGCTGAAACAATCAACAACAGAGATCTGGACACTGAGTTGTAAACCAGGATCAAGCAAACATATTATCTTCATCAGAATCCTGTGTGGGTTCTGGGATTCAATTTTCAGGGGGAAAAAGAATAGATCCACAGTGTGAACTGCTGAAACAACCAATAAAAAATAAACGAAATGCACTGTGAAAAAAAACTTGATAATTATTATCATTATCAAGCGGGTCCTTCGCACAATGTCACTATCATAATGACAAATTTTCAGGGTCCATTTTTGGGATCAAAATGTATAGGCACACCTCCCCTTAAGAAGGATGTTGCAAAAAAAGTGACCAGTTAAGGGCTTACTGAAATTGGATGTGTTGGGGTGAAAGGTGCAGATATCACAGCCTTACTGTAAACTGCAATACAACATGCCAGCTGCCCTTAATTCTTTAAGGCCGGAGACAAGGCTGTGAGTGTTGATTGAGAAGTTCCGTTTAGCCCAAACAATGCTGTCAGCGTCAATCGTGTGACCCGTACATATTGCTTCGCACACGGCTCCATACTCGTTTCTAATGTCTGGAACTGCCATTAAAGTATTCACGGAAGGTTACTCTAACAATTTTCTTTTAATAACATTCCGTCATATCCCAAGACACGTGTGCATAGATTGATCAGATTCATAGCTACATTATTTTTAACAGTGCATTTTCTAAGTTCGTTTTTAAGTGCAATGAATACCAGTGTTCCAGCCACAAGTACAGGTCGCAGTATGATTCTTTCTGTGGCCGAAGCTCTGAAATTGTTTCAGTCAGATGTTTTTAAATTCTGATAATGTTAATACAAACTTAAATTTTTTGAAAAGTGAATCGGACGGTGAATTTTCACCAGGGGCAGCTAAGCAATCAGCTGTTTGGGAATCTAGAGATTCTGATGAGTTTACACAGAGAATGTTCCATTGCTACCGCATTTAGGATGTAAGAGAAGGAAAGGGCTCCAAACAAATAGACAGGACTATACTATGGCTAAGCTACACTGAAATCATTGCAGCTACAGTATGAATATAACTGTACAAAGTAAATAGTAAATAGTGTGTATGTGTGTGTAGAGGCCTATTTTTCTCTGAAATTTTGCTCAGCATTCTCTGTGAGAACTAAGAGTTCTTGAGTGCTAAACTAAGCCAGAAACTTTACATAACTTTTGAATTTGTAAGCAAATTGAACAAACTTTAAAGTGTTATTCTCAAATTTGGATACTCACTGCTCTTGTGGCTGCAAAACCATGGTAAGTGAAGATTTATGTTGTGAAATTAACACCTGCTGATTTCTTCTCTCCAACTAACTATAACAGTATTAAACATACACATCTGATTCAAAATGTAAATTCATTTCTCTTAAAAAAAATATATACTTTTGTAGGGATTAGAAGTATATTACATTCTCTATTGCCGTTTTGTACACCACCCCCTCTGCTATTTTTGTAAAGGGAAATTAATGTGGGCCAAGTCAGTAAAACTTCATGGGCATGAAAGAGTTAAAAGAGTGAATGTAAGAAGATAATGGCCCATCAAAAAGATCTAAAATCCTTTGACAGCTCCACTGCCTCATAGATTGTCATGTTCAAGGATTCCTGTGCCCACCATCATGCTGATGTAACACTTCTTCTTGGAACCGTCCAATATTCTTATTTCAAACCACTTTTTTAAGCCAACAGGTCAAATCCAAGATACCTCATTCAACCTCCATGGTGGTACTCATAATGGCTGCACCAACATAGTGTAATCTGAGGTCCTGTGTGCATCAGGATTCTTCTAATTTTATTTGACAAGCTCTCTAGCAATACTTAATGTTAATTTTTCAAATACATAAATTTGTATTTAAAAAAAAAAGGAAATTCACCAAGTATAAATAGTTTTTAAGTTTTGCTATTTTTCTCTCAATCTGTAACATTAGCTAGTCTTTTTCTCTATTCCCATGCTTAAACAAGATAAAAGAAATGAAATACATGGATGCGGTTTACTACCACAGACAAGAACAACTAACCCAGTAAAAACGCTACAGCACTGAAGATAACTCCGCCTGACAAAACGTGGTCCTCTGTAACAATGGTGTTGAGAGTATGCAGTGTGGTCAGTCTGGTCACATAGGGATGGGTCCATGTCACACTGAGAAATAAGGCTGCACTAAAGATGGCCAGAGGTGCCAGAAAGGCTGCTCTAAATGGCTGAAGATGGCTGGCTGCCAAGCTTTCAATGTAGAAGTCAAAGACTCCAACAAAAAATATCACAAGAAGTAACGGGAACAACACAAGAAGCCATGAGTCAATCACACTCTGAAAACAAACAAAAATAGAAATGCTGGTTAGAACAGTATGAAAAAATATAAATATATTACAAACATGGAAGAGGTAACTTTAACGATTCATTATTCTATTATAATTTTGTTTTTATGGAAGAGTAACTTCATCTATTTCAACATTCACCCTTAAAAAGAGTGGTTGGCCGATGGCCAGTAAAATTATGGGCGCTCTTCCCATATACCCGATACGCCTAAAGGCGTGATAAGGGATATTTACTTTACATCTAATTTCATCAAATCCTCAATCAGACTGACTGACTTTCTACCCCACCAGGACATCACACAAGCGATAAACACCTGATGACACAATGTGCCACCATGTGGATGAAAATCACAGTGGAGAGGTCCCAGAAACCGCGTACAGCCAATTGGCCATATTTATGGCGGCCCCTGGCAAGAGCCAGGCTGGGGCTCCAAATGAAAAAAAATGTCATCCTAAAAAGGACGGCAAATCTCATCATCATCAGGTGCCTTGCCGACTGGCGTGAGCGATCACGCCTCTCCATAATCTGCAATCTCCTGCAGCATGTATCAGTTCGTGTGCCGACACACCTCCATGCCAAGCAATAAGACTGTCAAGCATCTTCTCTCGTTGTCTTCCTCTATCCCTCCTTCCACAGATCTTTCCAGTGGTCACAACATGTTCTATTTTCCCTCTTCTCATAGCATGGCCGAAAAACGATGACTGTCTCCTTCTGATGTCTGTGATAAGTTGCCTTCGGGCTCCCGCCTCTTTCAAAATCTCTTGATTGCTCTTTTTGGCTCTCCAAGGTATTCTAAGCATTCTTCTGTAAAACGACATCTTTGAGGCCTCTAGAAACTGTTTGGCCTGCCTACCGATTGTCCAGGATTCACAGCCATATGTTAAAACTGGATGTATGTAACAAGCAAGAATTCTTTTTCTAACTCTCAATGACAAGGATATATTGCACAAGATGTTTTTCATTGTATAAAATGCAGTTTTTGCCTGTCCTATTCTATTTCTTATCTCAGTTATGCATCTTCCATCTGATGTTATCCATGTGCCCAGATACTTAAATTTCTGTACTTGTCCTAAAATAATACCATGAACTTTTATTACACATTTAGGAATAATTTGTTTCTTTGATACCACCATTACTTCTCATAATACTTCATAATACAGCAAAAAAATCCTCAAGCAGTCACCATTTACATCTTGCTTGTTAACGGGCAGAGAGTCTATCCCTGGACACAATCAAGCCTTATCTGGTTGTTGACAGGCAGTTTTAGCAGTCCGGGCCAAAGGTTTAAGGTTTTAATCATGATAAAGTAGTGGCTAGATCCTTGGTTGCTGGTCCAAAGGTTTGAAGTTGTAATCTTGGTAGAATAGTGGCCAGATGCTTGGTTGCTGGTCCAAAGGTTTCAGGTTTGAATTATGGGAGAGTAGTGGCCAGATGCTTGCTTGCTGGTGCAAAGGTTTAAGGTTTTTATTAAATTAATCATGGTAAAGTAGTGGCCAGTTGGTTGCTAATCCAAAGGTTTAAAGTTTTAATTTGAAACAGGAGGATTTGGAAAACAACTGACCTTGGCCCCAAATAACCTGAATTTGAACGTGTAAGAGGAATGCAGCCAGTGTGAGGTTGACAACATCACTTAATGAGTGCCAACAGAAGTCTAAAAAATCTGAATGTAGCATAATATGCCAGATATGTCATGGGTGTCAAAGGGGTTCTTTACTTACATACAACCCTGAGACTGACCCAGCATTGTAACATGGACATCAGAGATTCAATTCAATAATGTGGACACAAACAATATATGGCACAAATCACTAGGAACATTTTGCTGCATTTTTATCTGATACATACAAACACCACTTTGTCTCTTTCATACATTATTCGTGTTGGAATATCAAGATGGACAAGCGGTTTACCATGCCAAATTTAAACTCATTCTTTCTGTTTACACAAAGTGGGTTTGGTCACTTTTAATAATAAAGCTTCCTCCAATTTCAGCTCCAATCATTTTTCCTATTGAGAAAATTCTGTCAGTAACCAAGTACCCACTTAACAAGAGGGAAATGATCCCAGCTGTACAGGATTAGTAAAGAAAATAATAATCCAACTATTTAGGATTGATTTCACCTCAGAGTCTTGGTAAGCAAGTGCAATTACCAATGTGCCATCCTGGATCAACTTTATTAACAAAATTATTAACTGAAAGGATAAAAATGCAAACAATCTAAAAACATATCTTGTAGGTCTTACCTCAGTGGTCAAGAATACAAAGCAGGCCCACGGAAAGAGAATACTAGCAGACACTAAAGATGACAAACTGTGAAGTCGCTTGGCTCCACCCACTTCAACTGACAACTTTTTAGCCACAGAAGTATAACCCGAATGTAGACACAGAGTCAAAAACAGCAGCACCACTCCTCCCTGGTTTAACAGACATGAGAATATACTGTCAAGCAAATTATTTATAAAACAAATATATTATCTATTCACTGATACAACATTAGTCTTCTTCTTCTTCTTTGAGTTAACTGGCTGTCCATCTTTGGACTTTAGTCTTGTTCCAGAAGCTCAGTGTTGTGTGCAAATCTGTTTAACAGATCTTACTTAACTCTATGCAGACTGTTGGTTCCTTGCCTCTCAGGTAGAAGATGGACTGCGACTTTGAAGGAAGCTCCCAATTAGTCGACTCTTATGACAAGCTTGTCGGGGAGGCAGTGGGTCTATTCTTGTTTTCCCCACAATCGGGCCCCAGAACCTATACAGGAACATTATCTAGACCAGTGGTCTCAACGTGGTAAGGAGACTTTTGACTCTCAGGTCGACCCAGCCTGAAATGGGAGCCAGGTAAAGTCCTGGGAAGTAACAGCTTCCAGAGTGATTTTAATCACCTCACCTATTGAGTTCGACATGTCTAAAAAAATATGGGTCTAGCACATATACCCGATGTGCCACTGGCGTGACAAGGGTTCTTTACTTTATTTTTACTCTAAGGCTCAATGTTACATCAGTGGCCATATCATTAATTTATTATTTTTTATTATTTTACTCCTAACAAGTTGTCTGCAGGGGAGCCCCCCTGTGTAAGTATGTGGGTGTGTTTAGGTATGTATGCAATATGTATGTGTGTAAGTATGTGAGTGTATGTATGGATGTATGTGTATTTATGCATGTATGTGAGTGTCTAAGATTGTGTATTCATGATGTGTGTATGCATTATTCTATAATGTATATTTCTTTATAATATATACATAACATGCATTATTTGAGGTTTTATATATTCTTTTGCACTGGGGGGTGGGGGGGGGGGGGGCTACGTGGTCTCGAGGCATAGCGTCCACTGGAATTTTTTCACACGGACTTCTAGTAATTTTCCCTGGTCTCTGGGTAGTAAGATTGGACGCCCATGTGTATTGTTGCACACATAAAAAATCCCCTGGCATTTGGAAACAGAAAAAGAGTATCCTAATGGGCAAAATTTCAATTAAAAAATCTACCCAAAGTATTTCAGGATGCTTGCTGGTGCTATGGAGTTCATGCACTGCACAAAGATTATTTGGACTTAGGCTTGTGTCAGAAGTAGAACAGAGCACTTATGGGTTACTACCGTTGTGCCATGATGTTGATTTATCATCTAAACATAAACCTTGCACTTTCCATTTGACGCCACACAGCCTTTACCACATTCATTTTATCATATAGTAGCCCACAGCCCAGAGCAGCAGCTAATCTATCAGCTTTCTAACTGAAACACAAACTGAGTTTTCACTGAAGATTATATTTGTTCCCTAAACATTTTTTTTAAATTAAAAAGCTTTATTACAAAACTGCGTTACAGTATATTATCACAGCATTAAAATATAAAATATCTTACTTTGTGATCAGACCAACCAAGGAAGTCGACTCCATGTTTAAAAAAGTGAGTGAATATAGTGTGATGAATATTTTCACCTGCCACAGAAAGAAAATGCATAATTCCTATAACAAACACATAACAAACAATTCATCATGCACAAAAAGTACAGCATATAGGAAAACACTGACATTAATGAACTGTATCATTATGAATTTGTTAACAACAAAAAGACATTTGACAGTACTGACAGGGAATCTGTCTGGAAACTGAGGTACAATGGGATATTTATCATATAAAAAGTTAGTTGCGTATCGTTTACAAGACGTTGTAGAACCAACCTTAACAGCCCCTGGCTGTTGTGTGGTTTCTCTTAGCAAATTTACGTCCAGTAGTTTGCCATTGCTTTCTGGACGGTCGGCTTTCTTGATACCACTGTCGAAACCAACGCAAGGCGCATTGCCCGCAACTGGGATCGAACCCGGCATTTCGAAGCGAAGTGTTCGCATCGACTTAGCCACAGAGCCGACTATTTTTCATGTAGCAGGCCCTAAACCCAAAAAAACGCTCCCACAACAGAAAGAAACTCGGTCCATAGCCAGCTCTCCTGTGCCTTTTCTTGCCCAAGATGTCCCATGTCCTATGCCCTTCTACATGCTGACTGAGTTGAGTTGAGTCAATAATTAACATCACAGCACTAGGGGCATTCTCATGCATGCTCCATCCTCATCTTCAGCAGTCAGCGCAGTTCCAATACTGACAGTACTGGTCACAATCTGGTTGTCTTGCCTTTTCTCTGAGTGTAGTGAGCCGGCCACACCCTCTGGTTACACCCAGGTGATAGGTTATGTGGTCAATATACGTGCAGGTCAGCCTGCTTCGATTATCAGGACATTTCCTGGTATCCACTTGAGGCAGAAGAAGAGGGAGAGACCAGGTTCTATATATCCTTTTTGCACGCCGTTTTGTGGTTCACAGCCAGACTGTGATATCTGCATCTTTCAGCCCAACAGATCCAATTTCAGCACATCCTTAATTAGTCGCCTTTTACAACATGCTTGCTGAGGGATCGTGAGTCTAGTCTTTATTTCTCAAATATCGGGTTCCCAAAGACACACAAGGAACTGTGACTATGGACTAAAACAGGTCCCATACATTCTCCCTGCATGGGTTCCAGGGCTTCACTTTTGAGAACAATGAACAGATCCCCTGAAACAAACACGTCATTGGAGGTGACTACTTAGGGGTGTTTCTTTCAAAGTCAAAATGCATTTGCCTGAGAGGCAAGGAACCAACAGTCAGCATATAAATAATCCAGGTCCGTAAAATGGATGTGCATGCAAAACTCAAGCTCTGGAACAAGAAAAAGTCCAGGGGTGGACACACACCCAGAGCTTTCCACTGGAGTTTACAGCCGGTAAACACGATGAATGTCCCACAAATCTGTAATGGAAGAGTAAGTGAACTTTCCTAACCAACTAACACAACAGAGATTGGTGAAATAATACCTGTGCTGTCATCTTTCCCCAGCTGACTCAGTTTCTCATCATGATCAAAGACAAGGAGGGATATCACACCAACAATAAAACATATAGCGCCTCGAGCCTGCAAACACAATAACAATTTATTAGCTATAGACAAACACATACACATAAAAAATAACCTAGTGTCTCTTATCAAAAGAAGAAGAGAATAATTAAATCAATCAGAAAGCCCCCAAAACTGGCACAAGATGATTATCATATTATGGACAGACCAGAGCAAGTCATTATTCTACGCCTTAGAACAGGGCATAATCGACTTTGCAGACATATATACACAAAATTCCCTATCAATGCTGTCAAATGCTTAGTCATAGTCTATCAATCCAATGTAAAGTGGTGAATTCAAATCAATGCTTTGCTCTATTATTATACGCAATTTGGCTTTCTGGTCAGCACAGGATCTGTTTGGCGGAAAACCTGCTTGTTCATCTCTTAGCTTTTTATTATTAGCATCTTTTAATCTTTCCAAATTAACTACTTATTTTTTTTCCAGGAACTGATAGCAACATAATTCCTCTATAGTTTTCACACCTTTTTTGGGCAGTTTTACCAGATATCCTTCTCTGCTAGTATTTCTTTGGTCTCCCAGACTTTACTAAATAATCTATGTAGCAATTCCACCGATGTGTTTATGTTGGCCCTAATAGCTTTTGCTGGAATACCATCTGGACCTGCCGCCTTTCCTTCCTTGGGAAGATTGATAGCTTTTCTAATTTCCTCTTTAGATGGTATATCACAAATGATATCCAGTTTTCATTTCTAAAGGCAGGATATCTAGAGGAATCTCTAGGCCTGGTCTATTTAGAAGTATTTCAAAATATTCAGCCCATCTTTGATTGATCCAGTTGGCTGACTATATTTACCTACTAATTTTCGTATGCTACTGTAAAGGTCTCTGAGGTTTCCTTTTGCTGCTGCTGTCTCCTCTTCTTGTGCTAGATTAAACTGTTAAACTGAGGGTCCCAAGGGGCACATATGTGTCAAATTTTGTCAACACGAAGGCCACACACGACAACTAATTAGAGTCATTTAACAAAATTATTGCAGAATATTTTCTTTGTGCAGACCGCAGGTGTGCTTGCAAAAGGCCACAAGCTGCCTGCCAGTTTGACATGCCTGGTCTAAAAGGTAAAAGCAGAAGTTATTTGCAGTGTAAATATATCACTTTATTAATAAGATATAACCCCATAAATCAACAAGCAAACATTCTGTCATGTAAGAATAAAACCTTGATAGTCTACTGTAGGTTAATGTAGCAGCAGGTTAACAATAATGCTACCACATGTACACAAAATTCATGATAGGTGTATCAGCCTAGTGCACCTGTGGAAAGGTGCCCCAGACAGCAGAGCATGTACTCCAGGACTGCACCGAATTTGACACATTAAGGCAAAACCTTTTGGCCAGAAAGAACAACAGTGAAACGTAAACTCTATGGACCACTGAAGAAACTAACAACGACAGTAAAATTTATACAAGAGACAAAACTTATTTCAGGCGAACGAAAGAAGAAGAAAGAACAATGGTGCTGACACAAGGTTCACAAAACAGGCAGAGAAGAATGATTTATGACTGCCTGCACTTCTTCACATACTGTAAACTCCTGCAGAAAGTCTTGGATGTTCGTCCACTTATATATTTTAGTCTTGTTCTAGGACATGAATATTGTGTGCACATTCTTTTACAGATCTGGCATGTTTGTGCGCAGACTGTTGGTTTCTGGCCTCTCAGGCAGATGCTCTCTAACTTTGAAGGAAACAATCCTATCTATAGAATTATCTGAGTGTGCAAGAAAATAATCCTGTACAAAAAAACAAAACACCTACTATACAATCTTTTATTAAACATTTAAAATAAAAAGTTAAGTGGGAAATTTTCAAAATACAACTAACTGTGCTCAGAAAAATTACTGCTGTATCTGTAAAATGACACCACTTATATTTCTCACTGTTTATTCTTCTGCGCTTTGCCCTTAAAAGAGTGGTTGGCACAGTGTGCTGTAGTTTACAGCTGGGCTGTGATATCTGTGCCTTTTGACTCAACATTTCCAATGTAAAGCAAAGTTGCCTTTTACAACACACTAGTTGGGGGAGGGGGGCAATGGGTCTATTCTCTCCCCCTATGCTCACAGGGAGGGTAGGTCATCTTCCCCCTCCCCCTATGCTCACAGGGAGGCTAGGTCATCCCCCTTCTTTTTCCTATGATCACAGGCAGGTTAGGTCGTCACGCCTCCTCTCCCCCATGCTCACAGGGAGGCTAGGTCGTTCCCCCCTCCATCTATGCTCACAGGGAGGCTAGGTCAATCCCCCCTCCCCCTATGCTCAGAGTGAGGCTAGGTATCTATTACCTATACTCCCTACTGTATAAATTCTACTCTTAGCTGTTTTCAAGTTCTAACGTGTGGAGGATATTGATCGAGCAAAAGCTAAGAGGACTTAGCTAGGTGTTAGTTAGTTGAGCAGTTATTCTCTCATGGTGAATATTTTGTAGAAGGAAAAAAAATACCTTTCAAATTAGATCAGATGCCCCCCCCCCCCCCTGTGGGCGGGTTCCTGGGTCCCATTTTAGGGGGAAAGAAAATGGGCTCAATGCCCTCTTTAAAAGCATGTGGTAAAAGGTGACTATTTGTGAGAGTTTGCGGAAATCTGATACGCTGGGCCAAAATCCACCGATATCGCAACCTAGCTGTGAACCACAACATAATGTGCCAACCCACTTTTTTTAAATAAAGGACGCATAAGTAGAATCATAAACACATGCAATACCTATAATTAGGTCTTACCACAAGTGTTTTTAAAATTTTTTATAAACTGTTTAAACATAAAAACGATAGGTGAGATACCTTTCCTGTTCCACCTCCCCCATTGGAGGAAAAAAGAGCACTTGCTCCGGCTACGACAACCACATCACTATGTTCAAACAGAAGGATGGTCCTAGAAGATTACAAATATTTTGGCTATACTGATCATCCCATGTCTAGTTTTTCATAACTAAATTAAAAAAAAAAAAAACCAAAATACCCACTGACAGTGAAGGTGAAAACGTTATTTTTGATATCGCAAGGAATATTATGCAACGGCAGAAAAACAAACAAAGGCAGAGTTTTCTTTGAACAATGGAAATTAAAAACTGATTAAGTTGAGTTGAGTCAAGAATTAACATCACAGCACTCGGGGCATTCCCATGCGTGCTCCATCCTCATCTTCAGCAGCCAGCGCAGAGTTCCAGTACTGATGGTCACAATCTGGTTATATGACTGTCTTACATTTCCTCTGAGAGTGGTGAGCCGGCCAGACCCTCTGTTTACACCCAGGTGCCTTATTCTCTCCAGGCCATAATAATCTTCTTTCTCTACTGATTCTGTTGCTTGTTCCCAAAGGGCCTTGGCCACATCTGCCTTGTCATGTATCAATTCACCACCCAGTGGTGCAGATCCAGCCAATCAGTCTGCTGCTTAATTCCCGCTATGCCGGCACAGCCTGGAGAAAATATCCAAAGTATGCTCCCTACCCGTGACCTTCCCAGTGAAGCTTGCCACTCTGCTCAAAGCATCCGTCTTCACCTTTCTCAGCATGCTTTCAAATATAAACTGATTAGAGAAATAAGAAGTAACAAGGCAATGTGTTTTTGACAAGTTCTAAAAAGTAATAGATTCAACAACTTGATGACAACTGGCAAGATTTCTGGAACGGGAACAATAAGCTTATTGGCAAGGCACATGATGATGATAATGACTTTGTTGGGGGAAGTTTTCCTACATTTGAACTAGATATGGCATAATACAGAAGTTCTGGAGAGACTGAGAATGAATGAAAAGAGAGTTACTAAAAGAAATAAAGAGACAATTGAAATATTCTGGCCACATTAAAAGATACTATACTGGAGGGAGAGGTCGAGGGCAAGAGAGCTAGATGTAGATGATACAAGTGGGAGGGCAATATCATGATATGCACATGAACAGCAGTCCAAGAGAGTGTGTAACAAAGACAAGAGAAAAATGCAACTTGGACCTGCCCTATTCTGTGTCGTCAGCATAACGCGACTTGTTTATGTTATAACCACCAACTACAATTGCTGGCATATGATGATGATGTATCGCATCATATATTCACTGTATAATGAAAACAAATCAGGTGATAGTACACATCCTTGTCTTGCTCCGCTCTTTATGCTCTGAAATGTTCCCAAACAGTTATTAATTCTTATGGCTGTTTTTTGCTGCCAATAATTTTTAAATCTTTCTATTGAAATCTGACATTCTGACAGAGAACAGCTTGTTTCATTTGAAGAGAGACATAGAAAGATAAAGAGCAGAGAAGAGAAAGAAACAGAGAGGGGAATTAGAAAAAGAGTGTATAAATATTCTGGGGAACAGTACAGTAAGACAGAACGAATGAGAGATGGAGTGAAAAATTATGCAAAGGGAAACAGAGGGGGAAGTGAAAAGGATAGAGAAAGAGGAGACGAACATGAGCAAGAGAGAGGAGAGAGAGAGAGAGAGAGAGAGAGAGAGAGAGAGAGAGAGAGAGAGAGAGAGAGAGAGAGAGAGAGAGAGAGAGAGAGAGAGAGAGAGAAAAGAATACAAGGCAGATGGAAATATAACTGTAGAAACAATATTTCTTATTTCTAACAATGCTCTCCACGTGGGTGTCAATAAATATGTTTTTTATGAGCATTTTCTTAAAACAAAAAATATCTCATGTTCATTTCAACCCTTGTGCCAATGAACGTCTGCAAGAGTGCACCCACTGCTGCCGCTGGGAATGTAATGTAGTTAGACCCCAATTTCATCCCTTTTTGTGATTCTCATAAACTTCCAAAAACCAAAGGAACAGTTTTTTCTTTAAATTAATTGAAGTCTCGAAGCTCATGACACTTTAAAACACAGTAACTAAACTGTGAGCCACTGTTTATGTCAAGTCCGAGGCTGAAGAACAGGGTTCATAGCCAAATTTACCAATCAATTTCAAGGCTTTTCAAGGTCTCCTTAGTTTTTTTCAAGGTTGTCTCGGTGTAATACTGAAACAAGATTTTTGCCTTGTTCAAGGGTGTACTGAGCACACAAGGTACTTCATTTGTGCCACATGTGTTGGTATACCAGCACAGATATCATCATCATGTAGCATTTCCTTTGTCCTGACAAAAAACCCTCGGTCTCTCACCAGCTCTCCCGCCTCATGTACTTTTTTATACTCAAGGAGTTACTTATATCCTGTGCCCATCTTCGTGTTGGTCGGCCCCCTGAGCTTGATATAGTGTTTGAAATTTTTTTTAGGGTTTGGTGGTAGAGGGCAGCAAACTGAAGTCCTGTCTGTTCTGGACCTGGTACCTGAGAGGGTTAGGGGAGAGAGAGAGAGTCATGAAGAGAGAGGAAGACACATGCTGAGGTAGGCTGGGAGAGACAGTGTAAAGATGGACAGATGAAGGTAGAGAAAAGAAGGAAAAGAAGTCTGGGGAAGGAGGAAAAAATGAGAGGGAGGGATGGAGACATGATGAGGAAAAGTGGGGAAGGGACAGCGAAAGACAGAGAGGGAGACAAATACAGAAAGAGGGAATGCAGATACAGAGATGGGCAGATGAAAAGAGAAGGAAAAGGGGAACGAAACAGAGATATGGAAGGAGGAAAATATGACAAAGAGTTGAAAGAAGGGAGACAGAGGGAGAGAGAACGGACAGGGTGAGAAGCAGATGCAAGCAGAGAGAGATGTAGACATAAAGGAGAGAGAGATAAAGGGACAGCACAGAGAGGCAAGCAGACAGAGGGAGAGAACCAAATAAAGAGAAAAAAGGCAGAACAGGAGAATGGGAGGGAGGCATACAAAGAGGAAGTGATGAAGGGAGGCAAACAGACATAAAGCAAGAGAGAGAGAGAGAGAGAGAGAGAGAGTTGGGTAAGGAAGGCAGTGACAAACACAGATTAAGAGAGAGGGGCAGGAAGGGAGACAAGATACATCAAAGAAAAAAAACAGCCACCTACTCCCCCCCCCCCCCCCCACCCCCACACAATTTCAAGTGTAGTGGACACAACCACTAGGAAAAGAGTTATGGGGCAAAAAAAACGTAGATGAACCAGTAAAAAATGGGGGGGGGGGGGGGGGGGGAGAGAATGAGAGAGGGGAGCGGGTAAGGAAAACTAGAGAAAATGAAAAGACAGGATGGAGAGGAGACAAAGAAGAGATGGGACAGGAGAAAGGGCAAGGAAAGGAAGAGAGGAAGAATGGAGAGAGAAAGGAGAATAGTAGAAGATCAAAGGAAAGAGAAGGGGTGAGAGAAGAAAGGTAAGACACGGTTGTGGGGGTGTGGGGGGGGGGGGGGGGTGTAAGAACAATGAGTGCCAAAAATAGAATTAGGAAATCTCTAAGTGAGGCCACTTTTCCAGTTCCTACCCTCTCCCAATGTGAATGTGGCCGTGGTCCAAAAACAACAGTGCTAACCCCTACTGCCCCTTGCTTGTCCTATCTGTGTGTGACAACAATAATTCAATTTCTTACACTTAAGGCTGGTGACCTGAGAGCCAAGGTCATTTTATGAAGAAAAAAAAAAGTCCAGGGGATCCCAACCCACCACTGGTAGAAAATAGAGAAGTTTACCCACACACATAAATAGGTCAGACACATAAATAGGTCAGGGCAGCAGTGGACTTCGTTTTATTTCTGGTTTTCCAATTACAGAAAGGAGGGGAGAGAGCAGGTGGTGGAAAGTGGTGTAGAAGGCTGAGGTGGTAAGGGTGAGACAGGGGAGGTGAGAGAATAAAGTTTAAGAAAATAAAGTGGGAATGAGACAGGGAGAGAAAAAGGGAGTAAGAAATAAGATGAGACACAGAGGGAAGAAGGTAGCAGGAAGGGGTGCACTCCCTCCCCTAGGTGTCATCAATGTGGGAGGAGAAAAAAAAAAGGGGGGGGGGGGTGACGGCAAATGTGTTTTTAAAAGTACACATATATTTAATGTGTGGGAGGGGGGAATGGTGGACATGAAATGTTCTGCACTAGGCAACACATAACCTTCTACACCAACTGAAGGTATGGAGAAAGAAAGAGAGAGAGAGAGAGAGAGAGAGAGAGAGAGAGAGAGTGAGGGAGAGTGGCAAATACAAAGAGAAAGAGAGAGAGGAAAGCAGTGACACAGACAGGCAGAGAGTGAGGAACAGGTAGGACAAAATGTGAGGGGGCGGGAAGGGAGATGGACAGAGCTTAAGGCCGCTAGGAAAACAAACACATCAAAAGAAAATATCCACCATGTTCACACAGAATGCCCCCCCCCCCCCCCAATACAACTTCCTGTGTACTTGAGTTGCTAGGAAGAGTTATGGAGCCGCACATTTACTAAACATTTAAACAAGAAATAAAATAGGAAAAAGGGGGAGGGGGGACAGGAAATGAGAGAGTCAATGGAAAGATAGAGAGAAAGAGAAGAAGATAAAGATCAGAAGGTAGGGTTAGAGACTATGCAGGAGACGGGAAGGAAGGAGCAATAGGTAGAAGAGTGAAAGAGGGAGGGAAGAGAGAGAGGGGTGAGACAACAGAAGAGGGAATCTCGGGGAATTACAATACTGATCGCCAAACACACTGTAAAGATAAATCCAGGCCAAAAATAGAACTGGGAAATCCAGCTGCAGTCACTTTGCTTAGCCCCAATGCCATCTCTAATTAATAGAGAAGGCCGTGCTTAGCCCCCACCACGGCGACTCTATTTATAGATACAACTGAACCGAGCCCCACCATCTCCCAATGTAATCCTTTCTAGAAACCACGGCCATAAACGATTTTTACTGTTCATTCTGCCCAACTTGCTAGAAACAGAGGCACACACACACGCGCGAGACGGAATCTGCTACTTCCCGCCCCATGCCACACTGCTGCTGTCTGCATGATTCATGATCTGCAACACAGCCCGCCCTCCCCTGGCCTTTAACAAGCCATTTCGGCTGAAAATAGCCAATAATCAGCTGCCCTCACACCTGAAACGACCATACAACGAAAGTAGCCAAAAACTAGCCAAATGGCCAAAAAAGCCAAATGGCTCCCCCAAAATTGCCTGTGCTGAGAAACACAGGATTTCTGACGATTTCATTGCCGTGGTCAAAATTCACGGCTTTTCAAGGTCGGAATGTCTTTTATAAGCTAAAATTCACGGTTCAAGGTCAACGAAAAAAATCCCGGTAATTTCCCGATTTCCCGGTCCACTACGAACCCTGGAAGAAGCTCAGCACAGTGCACAGGCTCTGTAGCCCCAGCGAGAATCCTAAAATACTTTAGATACATTTTTAACTCTAAATTTTGCCCAGGCAGTGAGTGCCATTAGGCTACTCTTTTCGATTTCCAACTGCCAAGATTTTTTTAATTTGTGCAACAAGGCACATGGGCGTCTGCTCTCACTACCCAGAGACCAGGGGGAATTACTAGAATTCCAAATCCACGTGAAGAAATCCCAGCCCTTACTGGGGACTGAACCCGGAACCTCTAGCACTCGAGGCGAACACCATGCCTTGAGACTACACAGCCCCTTGTTTATGACAAACACTTCTTATAAGACAAAATCAGTTAACAAGAGCAACAACTGCCTGCTTCATGCTGAAATCTTTAAAAATCATAATTACCTAAGTGGTCCACACTGAGTGAGTCCAAACATCAATAAAAAGTTGATAAAACTTCCAAAAACAGCATGCCTCCAAATTCGAAACCACTGAATGTAATTTTAAAAAAAAATTTACAATTAATAATTTTTTTTTAAAATAATTATTGTATGACTGAAAGGATGGTGAATGACATGTGAATGACCTAGTTAATACAATTTGAGCCAAAGATATATATTTTTTTTTATTGTATGCATTCATATTTGCTGGAAGTCTCTACACTAAAATGATAGATGCAAGTCGGTTTAGGGCTTAAGTGACCAAACATAAGAAACTGAAAGCTTAGTCTTCCGAACAATCAGCTTGTCTCTGCAAGTGTTTTCTTTTGGTGTTTTAATCATGGTTTTTAAATGTCTTTGTTAGTTAGTTTGTAGAGCTCACAACATCTTCTCTAATGGGTCGCCCCAAATCTGCCTGCAGAAATAATGCAAAACATTCTTCAGTGTCCCATTTGAAAACCAGTGGAAAAACTTGTCAGTCGCAGCAAAATCTTGAAGCTTGCATGCGCAAAGTAAAAATGCATAAGGTAACTGTCAGATTTGCCAACACTGACAGCCCCACACCAGTACTGCAGTTTATTGTTGACACAGTCAGTCAGTCATGTAAGCCAACAATTCACCCACAAAAGTACACACCATTATGAACATAACTGGCCACCCACAATTTTAGTGCAGTCAAGGACCTCGCCACAGGAACAACAGAAGAAACAAAAAACATTCCACATGAAATCTACAGCTCACAGTGTCGCATCAAGCATAAAATTAGGTAGATGGGTGACTGATCCTTTGGATTCCTGGTCCAGAAATGAGGAAATAGCATCAGAAAAACCAAGCTGGAAACAAATAATTGTTCAGAGTATCAACGTTCAGCTGGCTATCGACAATTCCTTACTGTTTCTGACTACTGCCATGTAAAAAAAAAGTCTCTTATTAGCCTTGATTTGTCTCAAAAGAGTGCACAGCCTAGGAAACTTCAGCAAGTAGACACACATTTAACCATCTAAAAGACTGAACATGAAGCATAAGACACAGGAGAAAGAGTTAGAAGGAGGTAAAAGAAGTAGAAGAACAAAGAGGAGGTAAAGATGACAGGAAAAACAGAAGAGAAGGTGGAGGAAAAAAGTAGGAGGAGTATCTACTGGCACCTACACTAGGCAGGTACCGACCGGGCAGAAATATCTAGTGCAATGCTACAGTATTTGCTTTCCAAACTTATGAGGGCTTCCAGGCAGGAATGGAAACTGCTGCAGCTGACTTTAAAGACGCGTACGACAGCGTTCCATACAACATGTTCAGCAGTGCATGGGCATTGAAACCTCAACATGTCTTAATGGGCTTGCCCCAGGAATCATCATTGTCTCCCGTTCTCTTTAATGTGTACACATCAAGTGTACAAATAGTAGGTCTGGGCAGAACAATGTCATTCGTAGATGACATCCTTGTGTACACCTTCGCCAGTTGTAAGCATGTGAGGTATAGACATCGATAGAACGAACACAATGAGATACCTTGGCAAAACTTTCAACAGATGCTTGTCCTACAAGAATCAAGTAGACAATGTCTACCTCATCATAACTTTCGACAAATGCTTGTCATACAAAAATCAAGTAAACAATGCTATAGTTAGAGCCAGGAAAGTTCTGATGGCGCTGAAAGTGATGGCATACGCTGACACTAAACAACGTCTACTTTTCCTGCTCAGTGACTCATACTAAGCATTATGGACTACGGGCTGGACCTCCTCACTGTCAGCAGAACCAAGATAGAAAGACTGGACCAAGTACAAAATGAGGCCATGAGACTCATACTCAGCTGCATAAAAGACACCTCCTGCCATGCCAGGCGGAATGTCCTGGGTTAACCGACAGTGGCCACCAGACATAAAGTGGCACAGATGAAAGCGTAAATGAGGATATCAGCAGACATCAACCACCAATTGCACAAAGCTATCAATGATATAAAAGATATGCGTCTCAAAAAAGGCTCCCTCCAGGATGGCCGAGGCAGAAAATCTAATCCAGCAAGTATGTGACCTAGACAAGATCAGTTGTGGAAAAGAATGGACGGATACACCAGTAGACAAGCATGAACTGAATAAGGTTGTCATAACATTGGGGAGGTATTGCAGGAGTCAGATATCCACCCAACGGACATCGTCATTTACACATGAAGTGAGGGTCAAGATTAGCATGGGCATACACAGCACAAAATATGGGCAGCACAATAAAAGAGGACAGTGGCGCTTACCAGACAACTATGTCTTACCAGACAACTATGTCTTACCAGACAACTATGTCTTACCAGACAACTATGTCTTACCAGACAACTATGTCTTACCAGACAACTATGTCTTACCAGACAACTATGTCTTACCAGACAACTATGTCTTACCAGACAACTATGTCTTACCAGACAACTATGTCTTACCAGACAACTATGTCTTACCAGACAACTATGTCTTACCAGACAACTATGTCTTACCAGACAACTATGTCTTACCAGACAACTATGTCTTACCAGACAACTATGTCTTACCAGACAACTATGTCAAGCATGACCATGGAGATAACTGCTTCTCCTAGAGCACTCGCCCGGGTAGCAGAACAAGCAGCCAACTATGCGGTAACTGTTTCAGACTCTATGAACATGCTTCAGAAAATCATTACAGGTAGTCTATGCTCTGAATGGGTAGAAAGCATCCGGATGTCACAGTTAATCTCCATCATCTGGATCTACACACCTGGAAATGCAGGAGTAAAGGGTAATGAAAGAGCTGACAAGCTGGCAAGTAATGCACCAAGGCAAACGGGAAGAAGCATGGACAGAGCATCAATGCTGTAATGACTTAGTTGGGGGATAATGGCGAATCTCTGACGCTAACATGAATGTCTGTCAGAGGAGTAAAACTTAGTGTACGTCTATGTCATCTTCGAGGTAAAGACTATTTACTATAAACAACGCCTCATGGGAACAATAAGTAGAGGCACACTGGAGTGGCTGCTGCATAGGAGGACTGACCCCACATGTGAATGCAAAATGTGCAAAGACGTCAATTGTGATAACATAACATAACAACACATTAGAAAACAAGATCCATGTCATACCTGATGTTTTGTTAACCTTGGTCCCGAGGAGAATGGCTTCTGAAGAACAACTAAAAATACTGAAGTGCTGGCAGGACAAAAGATTTTTTAAAATATTAGTCTCTCTCTCAAACACACACACATACAAAAAAGAAAACAATTTATATATATACTAAATCATCAGGAAAAAATCATATTAAATGCTACAAAATATTTTTTAAACTCTTTATGGACTAATGACCACTCAAGTGGCTTTTAATCCATCCCATTCAGACTATTAGCTCTTAGAGAGAAGACTGATAGACAACATATATTTACTGTCTGTGTCTCTAGTGCCCTTGATTTTCCAAGTTGTTGCAACTCTCCCAGTCCTTCTGTCTTTTAATGTTATAGGGGGAAAATGGAATGGGTTTGCAAAGTGGCATTCAAGATAATATATCAAGATCAATCAGGGCACATATATGCACAAGAATATCATTGCCTGTACCTCTCAGCATGAACCACAAGAATAATGAATAATTATAAATCACAGCATAAAACATGGTCATGCAGTTCACAAAGATATAGTAGGAGAAATAACCAGAAACAGTGAAAACACTGACTCACTCAAAGGAAGTGGCTTCAGAAAAAAAAAAAAAATGGGACTAGCTTTTAATCAATATTTTAGATAAGACAGAATACATGGTAATGATAACAGAAGGAAAGGATAGAAACTATAAAGAGAAAGCCAATAACAGAAATAAATGGAGGTGGATGATATCTGGATCAATGAACCTCATGGCTAGCAATGCTGAAAAAAAATTTAATTCTAATCTTTCCTGTTGACAATGAGCCCTCCACCTCCACACACACAAAAAACCACATTTAAATCATGTGAAAGAAACACTACCAACCTAGACATAATGCCAGCCAGTAAGTATGTGATGTGCTGAATCCTCACCTGGACATATCCTATTTTGCCTTTCTGTGGATATGAAATTCCAGTTCTAATTCTGTATTGTGTTGTACTATGACCTGGTCATATCCTACTTTGCCTTTTTGCGGATATGAAATTCCAGTTCTAATTCTGTGTTGCGCCGAATCATGATATGATTATATCTTATTTTGCCTTTCTGCGGATATGAAATTCCAGTTCTAATTCTGTGTTGCGCTGAATCATGATATGATTATATCCTATTTTGCCTTTCTGCGGATATGAAATTCAATTATTACTTTTGTAGACCTGCTGTTTTCTAGGCTTAGAGAGGGAAAAGAGAGCTCTGCAATAAGTCCCCAAAGAGATAATGCTTTGATGCTGGATAGATTAAGTTTCTACACCAACTTCATCTCAACACATGCAAATTCTTTTCAGGGCTTAGATGACCTTTAGCTAGTCAGTTGTGCATCCTTTACAGGACGCTGCAGAACCAAGCCCAGCACTTTTTAGCTGTTGTGGTTTTTTTAAGGCAATTTTACTTCAGTAGTTTGTCACTGCTCCCTGAACGGTCAGCTTTCGTTGCATGGTCGAAACCAACGCAAGACAAATCGTCCACAGCTGGGATTGAACCCGGCACTACAAAGTGCCTTCGCAACACCTAAGCCACAGACGCCAATGATGACCTTAGATGAACACTAATGTACACAACTTAACCCTGTCACCCCTAGGAAGCCCCAAACTGGACTTTTCGGTTGCTGCTACATTCCTGTAAAGGTCCTGAAACCGTCCTGTCAGCAGTGACCTTTTTCCGAGAAGCGTAGTTTAATGTGATTGGTCCTATTTACTTCAGCTGCCTTTCAACTAACTCATGCCCAGCTCTTTGTAAATCTGTTCATGATTTTAAGACCAAATGGCACTCGATGGGTGATTTGGTCAACCTCCTTGTGGCCGCCATTATTCTTCTGGACTCTTCCTGGTACCCATTTTAAGCTGGGTCAACCCGGAAGCCAAGGTCAATAATTAAAATATGTAAAAAAAAATTTCTAGTGTGGATTCAAATCTAAAATTTTCAGTCAAGCACTAACCGGTGGGATAGTGTGGCTCAATAAAAATAATGCACAGTAAAATCTTAAAGTAGAAAACAAAAAAATTTGCTAACCTATTACTTACCCGGCTTTCAGTAAGAAAAGAAATACCACAACTGGAATCAGTTTCAGTAAGTCATAAGCTATAAATAAACCAACAGCCTTCAGGATCTTTGATACAACCAGCAAGGCTACATACAACGTCAGTCTGCACATAAAAAGGTGCACAAACAAGTTAGAAATGTAAACAGCATGCAAAAAAGTGCAAAATGTTACACTAATACTAGATCATGGCTTATTGCAGTGTGATAACCAGTTCTTTTATTCTCAACCTTTCCCTCCCTTGTTTTGAACTTCTCCAGTTACCCGATCAAAGAGTTAGGGGAAGATGTAAGGATCTTCGGTGTGCTTTTTCTAATGTGTTGCATAAGTGGATCTTTTCTCTGAGGGTATGTATTCCTGATGCTGTCGTTACCTATTTTTCATAGTTTTCCCCTTGCTCTATGTTTATTGTATTTCTTCAGCGAGGGTCTATGCAACAGTTAATACCAAGGATTTTATAGTAATTTGTTTCAAGTGAGTGAAAAAGGTCCTTTACTGAATTCACTGTTAATTTCTTCTTATGTTTTTGCCTTTTATAGGGCGGTCAGCATGCAGCTTTCACTAGCATAGAGAAGAGTGATGAAGACAGTAAACAAAGATTTTTGTTCTAACCGTGGGTTTTCCCAGTTTTTTTTTTTTTTTGCTAAGAAAGAAAATAGAGAAAATAACAGAGGATAGACTGGAAAAGAATGCAATAAATAATAGGAATGAGAACACAGTAAACAAGTGACTTACCCTGAAGATGGGTGGAAACTTCGACCTGGAAGACCATCACTGGTGAATCTTTGAACCATTCTTGTGTGCTTCAGAACAACTTGCAACACATTACTGTTGATCGGTTAAAGCTAAACTCATCTCTAAGGATAGGCACTTGTGTTAACTGAATTCTGGCAAGAAAATAACACAAAGAATATTTACCAAAAAACTGTAACAGAGTTACATAGCTCGTTTGTAAGGAGGCACAATGCTAGATTATTAGGAAATCAACAAGTTATGGCAGCCTTGACATTCCCTTTTCCAGAATCTTCTTTTTCCGCCAAAACTAGCTGTTGACATCAAACTGATGTTGTCTGGCCTTGATCTTCTTTCTAGAAGATTCTAAATGCGTTTGTTTCATCATGTGACCCAACCTTGTCCTACTAGTAAATACCTTGTTGTCGTGCCCTATCAAAGCAAACGCAATTGTGCATGTTTTCTAGAAGGACAGCTGTCAATTGAACTACTATTTCTGCGTAGAATAGGATGATGAAATCCGATGTAATCGAGACATTTTTAGAAAATCCAACATGAGAACGTACATAGTATACAAGTTGAGACGTACTAGAATATTCTAGAAGCAGAAAAAAAAAGTGAGAAGAAAACAAATAACTAGCATTCCAGCATTTAAGTATAAATACTGGGTAAGAATCCACTTAGGAGAATTCTTCAGTCCACAAGACTCAAGAGAGGAGAGACCAGTCACATGGACTCTCAACGCAGCCTTCAGTCGTAGAGATGTCAGCTCAACGCAAAGAATGCCTTCAGTTGTTGAGACTCAGAGGACGAGTGACTAGTCTCAATGATCCTCGCAGTTGTGGAGATGCCAACTCAACACTAGAAGGAGAGGAGCCAATCCATTTGAGCCTCGAAGACAGTCACTAGAGAGCAGACATGAAACGAGACATCGAGCCACAGAGACAACACACAAGATACATGGATCCATGATCAACAGTGACACATTAACAACACTATAGAGATGTCAGAGTCGACGATCAAGCCGTTAGTACCAAACAGCACTAAAAGCCAGGTGGCAGTTAGAGACACTAGAACCAGTTAACAAAGTAATTAGAGATAAAGAACACAACATGACCTCAAGAGTGTGAACACAACGTGACCTCAACAGTACGTAACCATAGAGAGAACATAGCGCCTTTTAGAATATTATTGATATTGTTTGTGTCAATGCTGAAGTATCACAATATTGACAGTACAGACAAGAACTGTTGTTTCTAGCCATCTTATTATAGAAGCATCAGAGTTACGTGAGAAGCATGCAGCAAGCAAGACATCATCATCATCATCACCACTATCGACACGACCATCTTTCTCCTCGTCTATAATCTTCCAATCGACTCCTCCTGTAGCAAACCTAAAAACGAACCTGGGTGTGACATCAGCATACACAACGAAGAAGAGAGCTGTGCTACAAAACAACTGTCAGAAGATTTTAACATTTGAAAAAACTCAAAAGGAACATCACTTAAGTTAACATATTAATCATCAATCTTCTGCAGATTACCTTAATTAACCCTTTGGAGACAGAGCTTCACTTGGAGTTTTAGTGCCAAGAAGACAAAGCCTTCAGGAGGGAATTCTCTTAATTTACACACACATATTATAAAAAATAAAGTGTTTAATTAACATATATAAAACTACATTTATTCTTGTAGGAAACTGAATGAACTTTATGAATCAATCTGACGCCTTAAATAAGCTAAAAAATTTGCATATTTATGCATGCATTTTGTTTTAATTACTTAAGACAAATATGACTATATTGAACAATCTGGCTAAATTTTCAAATAAATAAAGCCTGAATAAGTCCTGCAGTGATGCGAAATAGAGGATTCAAGTGAAAATTCTGATTGGTTGTTAGAATCGGGTAATCCCTAAGTTGCAAGACTTGAAGTCATCAAGACAGAATGAAACCTTGTGAATGTGTGAGTGGACTTGGAAACATGGGGGAATAGCGATTCATTCTGCAACAAGGCCGAGAGCTGGAGGGTGTGAAAGCTGATTGCCTGTATAGAAATCTACGCTGAATGAAACCTGATAGAAATAATATGCTGATATGTTCCAGCTGAGTGCTGACTGTGGTCGTCTACACGTCAAAGATGGACACTGGGCTGTGTGACCTGAAGTGCAGACAAGTAGAACCTGGATGTGTGAAATAAGTGTCATGCTGTAGCCAGCACAGTTTCGATACCAATGGTGCCAACAGCATTCTGATTATATGTTTGTCTTGCCTTTCCTCTGGGCGTCAAGTATCGAGCAGATCCCCTCGTCATCTCTCTCACCAGACTGTGGTGATACATTTGCTCTTCAGACTTGAACACGATCTCCAACTAGGCCCTAACCACGTCTGCCTTATCATGTATCAGAATTCCAACAAGTTGTACAGTGCCAGCCAATCTGTCTGCCTGTTCATTTCCCAGCACTCCATCATTCCCAAAGCAAAAATCCAGACAACAATGCTCCTCACCCGTGTCCTCTGCAGCGAAGCATGCCACCGCACAAAGCATGCCTGTACTCACCTTCCTCAACATGCTTTCTGAGTCAGTTACAATCCCGATGTGTGTGTGTGTGTCATGTTATCCAGCCAGCGGAAAGCCGTGGTGACCGCCTCCACTTCCATTCTTAGGCTGGATGTTGTGGCTAGGCTCTCTTGCACCAAACATCGGCTATTGGCTTTTGCTAAGAACCCCCAAGCACTTCTTTTGCCTCTTGACACTGAACCTCTGTATAAATAATCACATCCTCTGAACAAGCATTATCTTGAATTAATTGCTGAATTTCCACCTCGGTGGCACGTGCTGGCCACTTCCTGCACTCCCGGCTCAGTGTGATTATGACTACACAAATTTGAGTGTCCTGCTGGCACTCTGACCCACTCCTTTCCTAGCCTAATGTTCTTGAGGTTGCAGACCTGTCTGATTGTGTCTTCTGCCTGAGCCATACATGACTTCCCTCTTATCAGCCGATGACTTTGACTTTACATCCAGAGCTTTGTGCAAAGGGTGATCTGTGTCTGCAGCTACCTTGAGATATGACTTCGCCTGCAGCACCTTGTGCCTACCTGCAAGAGTCAGCAAACCAAGGATTTAACACATATGCACCACTGGGGTGTCTCTGGTGCAACCCAGAATGACCCCCATAGCCGCGTTTTGTATACGCCATAGTTTTTTCATCTGATGCTTTGAGATGGTAAGCATTCCCAGGCCATAATCAATCACTATTACAATAAGAGAAACACCTCTGGCACATAATTCTACTCCTTTTCCTGTTAGTTTTTGGTTGCTATGACGTAACAGTCCTTTTCATCATTGTTGGGCAGAGTTCAGACATTAGCCTCCAGCGTTTTAATTATTTTTTTATTTTAAATATTTAGTTTTCGTTTGTTTGTTATTAAGCCAGTCAAAACCCACTTTATCTTTTAATTTTTGTGTGTGCCTTCTTTACCATCACCCGATGGGGATGGGACTGGGGGGGGGGGGGGGGGAAGGGACAGGGATATCCAAAATGCAGTTTCATATTCAAATGTTACATGATCTAATTAATGAATGATACATCAATAGTATTCTATCTGCAGTGCATGCAGAACATACATCCCTCATCACATTCACTCTCTTATTTTTCACCTCTTCTCTCCCTGTCTCACACTCACAGGTGTTACTTGCAATTCCCCAAAACAGTTCAATTGTAAATTGCATTTACAAGTGGTACACATCAAGTAGCAAATGTTACATAGGGACAGAGAAAAAGAAACAATTCTATATACAGTATACAGACAACAGAGTTTCTCTTTTGCTATCTCGCTTTCTGTCCCTTCTCCTCTCTATCCTCTATCCTATCAATCACTTGCTCCCTCCTTTCTTTGCCAGTTACTCGTGTGGACTCTAGCTGATTTCAATCAAAAGTAAAACCCCAATATATAAAATATCACTAGCATCACTATAATTATAATAAGTAAAACACATTTCTTCTAATTTATAATTTTAATAAATATTATTGTTCTGTTTTTAATTTTCGTAATATAAAATTTTCGTGGATACATCATGTACGGCATACGGCCATACGCCCGGCGCCGATTTGGATATAATATAGGGACTACAGTTTCGACAATTTGCAGTCTTTTCGGCAAGTTCCGTTACCCGGAAACCGTTCAGAACTTGTTCGGGAAATCTCGGCTGGTTTCCGTATGGGTCCAAATCTCTCATGAAATTTTGCCATTGGTGGGAATTTGGACCAGCTATAAATAGCTGAAAACAGCGTGGGGGAACCCGATTAACAGCGCATGTCTACGACAGCCGGACTTCTCTGTTTTTCTGTTAGTCATCAGTTTGATTGAAAATAGCGGTAAATTCGAGGTTGGCTTTAGGCCTTAAACATTACCAGTTGTGGTAATGCTAGTTACAGTTGAATTCTCCGTCCAATTTTACATTTGCATATTAAATTTTTTTACCGACTCTGGCTGTTTAGATTTACAGTGACATTTTTTAGGCAATCGCATGCGGCTGAGTGAGCTGAGTCTCACTGCCTGCCATCTTGTCCAATGACAGTCCAATGTCAACAAAGCCGATACAGAACTGCGCAGTAGGTTGCGCAGTCAAAAAACTTCTTGTTTCTGGGTCACAAGTTTTAGCGGCTGTTTCTTACATCTCATCTCCACAAAAACCTACATATCTCAGCTCAGAAATGACATACAAGCCTAAATGAGGTACCATTGGAAAGAGATTGTTTACAGCTATCTAACTGTGCTGGTTTTATTGGTGTAGAGGGCATTTTAAAAATTTGACTGAAGTACCTATATAATAATTATTAAAAAAAAAATGAATAAATAAGTTCCCTACTGGTTTTTCCGCAACAGTCTATTCTAGTTGTTATTTAGGTGAGGGAATTATACACTGTTAATATGGATGGCTAGAGTGAACACAATCACATTTATTACTGAAGCTTCCATTTCTTACATCTGTCTCAGTGACTATCGATTTCTGACATGTTGGCAAACATCACAACATATAAACAGTGGGAATGA